GGGGGGGGGGATCTGGATCTTTAACATGGGCAGGAACACTTTTGTTCAATGAGCTGGCCTGTTAAAATTGGGCCATGGAAATGCATTGCAACTATACCTTTACTCTAAGATGTTTTCTATGCCCCGGGCCATATGTAAACCTCCTAGCCTTTACAGGGTTAATCGGGTATACTAAGGCCACTAGTTGGCAAGAGGGAATTGCAATTCAAAAATTATCTTTCAGAATTTATTATAGTCAAGTTTATAACAATTTCACAGGTTTAAAAATTGTACATGGAGGAGTAACAATTTAGATGGTGTTGGAGAGGTATACATAATGGATATAAAGAGGTTATCAAGAAGTTAGAAGGAAAGGTGTGTGTAGGGGGTAGGGAGGAGATTGAAATGGATTAGGATAGTTTGTAATGAGGTAGGAATAGACAGGAAGGGAAGTATAATTAGTTCTTTTCTAAACTACTTTATTCTTTGTAAATTCAACCAAAATTATATGATTTTACAAGGCGTCACTAAAAAGCCTTAGTGGTAGCTGGAGCCTAAATTTTTGTCTAATAGTGACGAATTTAGACATTTATGATATCTACTAAACTTAAAAATTCTTAAAAATAACGTTTTATAGCTCTGTATTTTTAGTGTTCAAAATTCAAAATTTAAATTCTTGTTTAATTTTTAAACCAAAATTTTTTTTTATAAAGGAAATCTTAAAAAACTTGCTACAAAATCTTCATCTTTGGTCCCAAATTTAGACTCCAGCTACTTTTTGGGTTTTTGGGACACGCTGTACTTGTAATGATTTAAAAACATATTTTACCGCAATAAGTGTCTAATGGGTTAGGATTAGACGATATTTTGGGGTTATTCTGAGAGGTTTGAGCACATTATGGAGTTTTATTCAAATATTGTGGAAATCTTTTGAAAAGAGTATTTTAAAGGCAACTATTTTTTTAAACAGTTTTAATAGAATTTTTAAATTGGAAGTTACTTAGTTTTATACAGTGATTAGGATCCATCCAATTTTGATGCGGGTCCGGATCCTGGATCCGCACTGGAAAAAATGGATCCAAATCCGGATCCAGGTCATTTCTTTAAGATTTACTAAATTTAGCAACAAAAAAAAAATTCAAACTTAAACCATTCAGAAATGAGGAAGTTTTTTTAACAAAATTTTTTCAAAAGTTCAGATTCGGGGTATTGGAGTAAAAAAAGGATCCAGGAAGCCAAAATCTTGCGGATCCAACGGATCCGGATCCTAAGCACTGGTTTTATATGTTCTGACTTGAATATTTTCTCTCATGGTCAACATTTTCTAAAATAAAAAAATGTGCAGAAATATTGAAATATGTTCGATCTAATCGATTTTGGCGGAGCCTCTTAATGGCCAAAACTTAATGTAATGATTGAGCTTTTTACCTACATATGGGGGAAGTTATTTGATTTACTGAATATCGTTTGGATTCCATTTCATTGAGATAAAATGGTACTGATTAAGCCTAACCAAATACATTTTAATTTCAATTTTGATATATCCTCTGCAGAAGGTTGAATCCATGGAGGCCGTTTCAGACAAAAATGATGGCCGGCCCAGTCTGGAAACCGAAAACGTCAGTGATGAGGGTGCGGATCAATTTGACGAGATCAAATTCGATCCGTCCCAACTGGACGCTAGTATACTCAAGATGCCAAGTATACCTAAAGAATTGGGAGCGGATGATATTGACAAAGTCATTGCTGCACTTACAAATGTCCCCGATGTGAAAATCCACGATTCTCCGAAGAAATCCACATCTTCATCGCGTCATAAATCCGCGAAAAAACGAGCCCCATCGTCCGATTACGATGACAATGATTCAAAAAGACGTCGTCAATCTGGGCAGTTTGATGAAGACATCCCGCTTAAAAGAATCCCTATTGGTTTGTTACGAGGGCGGTCCAGAGGCCGGCTGAGGATACGAGCACGCGGGGCAGGACGTGGTAGAGGATACATATTGGAGCAGGCAAGAGGTCTGTTCGGAGGTCGTAGCAATAGAAGCAGCAGAAACGCTGCACCCATCAACAGTCGAGGAGCTGATCTGGCCCGGGGGGTGTTCCCTGTTGCCCGGGGGCGTAATATATTCCCAGAGGATGAAGAGGGCGGGGAGTTTGGGCGGGGCAGAGGTCGGTTTGTTCGAGAGAACGCCTTATTTAAAAGGTTCAAACAACAACACAGACCAGATGAGTTGGACGAGTACGGAGATAGGAAGACAAGAAGTAGAACTAGAAGTAAAACTAGAACTTTATCTTCTTCATCTTCCAAGTCAAGATCTTCTAGCTCAAGTTCATCTTCCGACTCAGACTCTTCCCCAAGGAGGAAGAAGAAAAAGAAGGAGAAGAAGAAAAAGAAGAAGGGCGGGAGTGAGAAGAAGAAAAAGAAGAAAAAGAAGCAAGACAAAGACTCCACTGACGAAGAGAACGACACGGACTGGAGAGTTACACTTCTCAACAGGATGAAAAATATCAAAAATCTTCCACCAGAGCAGCTCGAGGTAGAGTTTAAAAAAGCAATGGCCGAGAAACGAAAGAAGGAAGAAGAGGAGAAATACAGAGAATTGATAAAACATCGGCAAAAGTTGGCTCGGAAGGTGAAGAAGGAAAGTGAGAAAGCAGCAAAGAAAGCTGCCAAAGAGGAGTTAAAGAAGAAGGAAAAGGAAGATGAGAACCGAAGTTTCTACGCCGGAGTACCAGAGCCTCCAGAGGGTCGGAGGAAGTTTACTGAAGCAGTGTCGGAGAATGAGGAAGAGGAGAAGGATGTGAAACCAAACCCCACTGGATTGAATCCCTTCCAACCCGTCTCATATCCGATCTTTAAATCATCTTTTGCGGAAGTGTCAGCTGATGCCGTTAAAGGTTAGTTGCAGAGATTTTTTTGTTTTAGTTTTTGTTGTCATTAACACATTAAACAATTTTTCAATAAACCAGTCGGACCACTGACGGCAGAATGATTGATACTTTCGGTCAAAAACGCCAATTTTCATTTCATATCGTGAATTTACTAATGTTCTTCTCAATTAATTTACAAATGAAATTTACATATGAGCATAGAGCATTTAATTTACCACCTTATGTAATTATTCTACTTAGTGACATTCTTTTTTTCTTTCATAGTTGTTTTAAATTACAAGCTTTTTAACCCTATTCCCGCTGGGGGGTGGTCAATTTGACCCCCCCCCTGTAGTTTTTTTTTACATAACTCAAAAAGTATTGGTCTGAGGCTGTTGAAATTTTCTGACTTTTCTTACATACCCAAAGCCCTCCCTTTAGGCCTAAAACCGGGCTTTAATACTAACTGCCTGAGTCCTCAGGCACACTGCCTGAATGACTGCTTTTGCCTGTAACAAACTAAATCTTTGTTTTGACCCACTTTCACTTATCAGATTTTGATAAAGTTTAGCTTTTTGGAAAGCCTATGACATAAGGAAACGGATTGCACAAGTTTTGCGAGAAAAAAATTGCAAATTTTTTGCAAACAACCTGTCAAAGGAAATTTGCACATTTTTAGTTTTTCTTGATTAATAATCAGGTTATTTAAAATTTTGCAAAATATTTTGCATATTTGAAATCGCATGGTCAAGGGCTTTTCAAAAATGTATAATTTGTCATTTTTTGGACAATTTTTTTTTGCAAACATTTTTACTATAAAACTGGATTTTGCAATAAAAAATTCAATTTTCGCAAATTTGCAAATTTTTTTGCAGATTCTAAAAGTAGAGCACAAGAGCTTTCTAATGATGTATCATTTGTCATATTTGGACATAAAACATGGGATTTAGAGGGGGGGGGCCAAATTGACCCCCCCCCCCCAGCGTATCCTGGTTTTCAAGTACCCCAGCAGGGATAGGGTTAATTAAGCGTATTAAACATTTTGAGGCCAGTCTGAATATTCACTGAGTGACTATTTTAATCTCTTTCCACTTCATTCTTATTGTTTTCCATACAAGTTTTTTGGATTTCTCGGAAAATGACAAATTGGACATGAAAATGTTTTTTCATGTCCAATTTATACTTTTTATTAGGAAATAAACCCCTAAAAACATGCCTAACTTGGGGGGGGGGGGGGTAGGAAAATATACACTCCTGCGATTTGGTTCGTTTTTCTTTTCTAAACATTTGCTTATCTTACACTGCAAAATTTCATCCCGAGAGAAAATATTTGCAAAAATAACAGCCAAATGCGGACGTGTTGAATTGGGTTTATATTTTCATCTTTTTTAAAGAATAGTAGTTTAATTTAATGAAAGCAAACATTAACCGAATACAGTTTTAAATTGTGGGAAGTTTTCATTGAATAATGTATTAGATGAGGAGGAAGAGGATCCGTATATTCGAGCTCTTGATGAACACAACAGAAGAAAACCTAAGGAAGAGAATATAGGTGCAGTACATTTAAATACTTTTAGAAACATAACGAAAGATTTTTGTTAGATTACGTATTTAATGAGTAATTTGAGCGTCCAAAAAAAACGGAAATCGGATCAGAACTTCAGAAGTGAGGCTCTGACATCCAACTATTGTAATTTTTTTTTAGAGACGCCCTGTATGTTTAATAGTTTGGAAACCCAGCAATGCCTGGAAGCTAAATTCTCACTAATAAAGTCGACTCGCGCAACTTTAAATCTTTAAATTTTATAATCAATCTAAGAACATTCCCTTGGTTCTTCCAATTTCCTCAATTAAATTGGAGGCAAATCTGGCAACGTGTTCATGAGCTATGAACAAGGAGTAAGGAATATAATGGAGAAGGGATCAACTTCGCCCGCCCTACCATATGATTCATACATTCTTTGCTGACGATACTCCATTAAAAAAAGAGTTTTTAGGGTCGTCTTTTAATCTATATGTAAATTTGGCTTGTCTGTCTGTTTGTTTGTATCCAATAAACGTCAAAAGGGCTGAATCAATGAGGCCTAAATTTTTTGTGGGACCTCACGTGGCCCCAGGGAAGGTTTATAGCCAATCAGACTTTAGATATGTAATCTTAAAATATCATATCTTAAATTATTTAATTTAGTAAAATTTTTAAATTGCGCGAAAAAAAATATTATTCAATCCGCAAATTAAAAAAATTATACTGTACAAAGAGATGTTTTTTTAATGTGTTTTTTACTACAGGGCGGGCCGGGTCGATCCTTTCTCAATTATTTTCCACACTCCTTGGCTATGATCAGACATGCAGATAAACAGAGATTACTACTTTAAATTTGTAGATGATGTATCCTGGCCTGCTGGTGCTCTAGAGGAGGGAGGACTAGATGAGGCAGAAATTCAGGAGGGGAAGGAGGAACTCCGAACACAGATGGATCTAGAACAAGAACAGGCCAGGCAGGCTCTAGACGATAGGTAGAAATTAGATTTAAAGAGACTGTTAACGTATAGGGACGTTTTGTCAAGTGTTCCTACTACAACAAAAAAGTTTCACAGATAAAATGCATTAGAAACATTATTGGTTATTTATTTTTTCGATTTGATGTAGGACTAATCTTGGCGATTTTATTTCTTTCTTTTGCTGTAGAAATCTCCAAGTTGTGTTTTGTAATGCTACAACGCACACGCTACAACATTTCTCCGCGAAGCTCTCCTGAACTTGTTTTTTATCTTTTACGTCTTAAAGGGACTTCGGTTGTAATAAAATTACAAGGAATAAACTTTAGAATGAGATATCCTTAATCCTGATAGCTTAATCTGATTATCCAATGTACACACTTTTGATTTTCTTCTTAATCATCTTTTTGGATATTTCTGCTTTATAAAAGTTACGTTCGATTACAATTACAGCTACGATGCTATATCGATTGTACTAATATCCGATTGAAATAAAGTCAGCTGTTCACAATCTGGCTTTGCAAATTTATGCTGCAGAAATATAGAAGGAAATTGTCAGAATTAAACTGATTTAATTCAGAAAGAACAACGACGATATCTCTCTTATTGCTGCTCCAATCTGGCTTTTAGAGCATCTAAACAGATATTTATAGTTTAACTCTAATGGTTTCAATTCGTCTGAAATCTCCGAAAAAAAATACTTGCTAACTTTCTAAATACGTACTTAGAACACACGCATTAGGGGGCGGTCAATTGTTCAGTGAAATTAGTTCATCAATCTTTTCATAAATTCAGTACACAAACAGTTAGTTAGTTAATGAGGTGCATACTCAATTCACAACGGTACTCTTGAAAGGCTTGAAAAAATCTCCATTCTTCATTATTTCTGCAGGATAAAATGCGCAAGTCACTCTTGTAGAGAGAATAAAAATGTTAAAAACTAAAACATGGTTTGTTGATTCAAAATTGACCAGAATAAGCTAATAAGGCAACCCTTGTCAATAGGAAATTATTGTCCTTTAAAGTTTGAAGTTAGTGCGATACTAAATTTAATTAGTTATGAATTTTTTCTTCTCTTTACTTTTATGCTATCAGGAATTAACATTTAGTTTTAAAAATGTTGTGTTTGTAGGACCAAACATGTCGTGAACGCGAGCAAGATGTTCAGTAAGATCCGGAACCGGATCAAGGGGAAACCGTTGAAAATAAATTTGAAGATGAATAAACCGGTTGAAGAGGAACCAGGACTTCAACCCTACACAGGTAGAATTGGGGGGATTATTTGTGTTGAGAGGGGGGGGGGGGGGGGGGGGGTTATCAAACAGAATATGTAAGACATCAGGAAAATAAAATTCAAGGAAACTAGAGGATTATATTTTTAAGATTTTATATTGATAAAAAAAATTAGTGGTATAAACATAAATAACACTATTCAGGTCGGGTTAGATTCCTTAATTTTTTGCTCTTTTGGGATGTTTCGAGAAAGACGTAATCTATTTATCATTTTTTCTTACTTGCTTACTGAAGTTAATCTAGGAGAAATCAATCATTCCGTTACTTACATTTTCAATGCATACTCATTCATTTCTCACTTATTTACTGCTTACTCAATCACTGCATACTCTTTCATTGCTTACTCAATCATTGCTCACTCATTCATTGTTTACTCAATCATTGCTTACGCCATTTTTTCTTACGCAATCATTGCTTACTCAATCATTGCCTACTCTTTCATTGCTTACTCTTTCATTGCTCACTCATTCATTGCTTACTTAATCATTGCTTACTCATTTATTGCTTACGTATTCATTGCTTACTCAATCATTGCTCACTCAATCATTGCTTACTCTTTCATTACTCACTCATTCATTCTTTTCTTAATCATTGCTTACTCAATCATTGGTTACCCATTCATTGCTTACTTATCTAATACTTACTAATATATTGATAACTCATTTATTGCTTTATCTCATATATATTTCTTACTCTTAGATATTTATAACTCGTTCTTTGCTTACTCACTCATTGCTTACTCAATCATTGCTTTCTCAATGATTGGTTACTCAATCATTGCTTACCCAATCATTGCTTACTCAATCATTGCTTACTCAATCATTGCTTTCTCAAACATTAACTATCGATCATTGCACACTCAATCATTGCATACTTAATCATTGCACGCAATCATTGCTTACTCAATCATTGCTTAATCAATCATTGCTTTCTCGATGATTGGTTACTCAATGATTGGTTACTCAATCATTGCTTACTCAATTATTGCTTACCTAATCATTGCTTTCTCAATCATACTCAATCATTGCTTTCTCAAACATGAATTACTCGATAATTGCATACTCAATCCTTGCATACTCAATCCTTGCATACTCAATCATTGCATACTTAATCATTGATTACTCCATCATTGATTACTCAATCATTGATTACTCAATCATTGCATACTCAATCATTGATTAATCAATCATCGATTACTCAATCATTGATTACTCTATCATTGCTAACTAAATCTTAAACTAGAAGAAAATACCCCTGGGGACGGATTATCTGAAGGGGAGAAGGAGGAGAACTGGTATGACGAGGATACTACGGAATACGATTTCACCGGAAGGTATTATCATTATTAGTGTTGTTGTTCTTTTTTATTATTGTTTGCTGAAAAGGTTTGCATAAGCCGTAAATTTGTATTAAATGTTTGGCAACTGAATAATTTTAATTTACCAAGGTAAGGAAATGTCATGAATTTCGATAGGAGTAAGAAGATGTATGTTAAACTTTTTCTATTTGACGTTCTGCAGAAAGTTTAAGAACCTTTCAAAGTTAAGTTTGGCATCCTGAAATAGTCGGTCAAAAAGCTTGGATCCTGTTACTAATTGTTATTTTCTTAATTATTGCTGATGTGAACCATTTTCCAAATTGGTGTACAGTCCATTTAATCAGGGATGACATTGACCTTGTGAGACGGATGGAGAGGATGAGAAGGAAGAACAAAGAGGTTCATGATCCTGGAGAACTGGAGGACGGGGAGAGATCTCCTAGTCCTACTCTCGAACGTCCTCATCTCAGGTAAAGATAGTGTTGAAAGGTCAGCTGTTATCCAGAGTTTTTTGTAATCTTGAAAAATATTTTCTCTCTCCCCCCCCCCCCCCCCCCCTCGTCTCATGTTTTTATTTTTCTTTTTTTTTAGCGTGTGGGGGGGGGGGGGGGGGTGTAAGGAAAATAAGTAGTTTTACATTTTAAAGTTTTCCTCCCTGATTAATTTTTCAGCGAAAAATCATTTTTGTTTAAATATGTTTATTCTTTTCTTATTAACCCTTTCATTAAACCTTATTGCGAGGGGAAGGAGAGAGGGGGAGGGAGGGGAGAAATTAAATCATAGTGGATATCCAATCCGTATTTAATTAAAAAAATAAATTTTAATTAATTTGTAAAAAGAATGATTTCAAATTTTGTTGTGTGTACAGGAGAAGGAGGCGGATGAAAGTTAAAGAGAGCCGAGATGGAACCCCCCTACTAGACGAGAAGGTGGTTGTGGAGGAGAAGGAGGAAGGAGAACTAGATAATGATGGAACACCAACATCTTCTCCAAGAAGTCGAGCTCCCTGGAGATCAGGACTACCTCCCCCTACTGTAGGAGCAGCTCTACCCTTCATAGATACTAGTGTTCCTCCTCCAAACCTTACAGTAGGCTTTCCTCCCTTTAGACCTGGATACAACAATCCAACCCCTTCTAACACCTTTAACGTTCAGGATAAACCACCCATATACGATCCTTACTCTGCCCCGCCCCCTAGATTCCCCCTGGTTCTGCCCGCGGTCCCCCCTCCCGTGCCTGTTCTAAACCCTGAGCTTCTATCCCGTACAGGTTCAAGACCTGCTCTTCTTGGAGTTCCTCCTCCTAGTATGCAACCTGGTTATGATTCATTCTCCAGGTCTTCTTCAGAGAGAGACAGGTCGGGTTTTCTTTATTATTGTTTTGCAACTTATTTTAGAAAGAGGGGCATGCCCGATATACAACGCTACCCTTTAAACTTCCATCTGAACTAAAGTGATATTCTAGTTTTTCTGTGTGTAAATTAATTATTTTAAATTTTAGTTTTTCTTTAGAAATAACTTGCAAATTTATGCTGCAGAAATATAGAAGGAAATTGTCAGAATTAAACTGATTTAATTCAGAAAGAACAACGACGATATCTCTCTTATTGCTGCTCAGATAAAGGTTCGAAGGGTACTGTTGCGAATACCACGCTACTCTTAAAAAAATTAGGGTCACTAAGTTTTGTCTTTAATCCCTGTAAGTAATAGTTTGTTTATAATCCCTGTAAGTAATAGTTTGTCTATAATCCCTGTAAGTAATAGTTTGTTTATAATCCCTGTAAGTAAGTTTGTCTATAATCCCGGTAAGTATTAGTTTGTCTATAATCCCTGTAATTAATAGTTTGTCTATAATCCCGGTAAGTAATAGTTTGTCTATAATCCCTGTAAGTAATAGTTTGTCTATAATCCCTGTAATTAATAGTTTGTTTATAATCCCTGTAAGTAAGTTTGTCTATAATCCCTGTAAGTATTAGTTTGTCTATAATCCCTGTAATTAATAGTTTGTCTATAATCCCTGTAAGTAATAGTTTGTCTGTAATCCTTGTAAGTAATAGTTTGTTTATAATCCCTGTAAGTAATAGTTTGTCTATAATCCCTGTAATTAATAGTTTGTCTATAATCCCTGTAATTAATAGTTTGTCTATAATCCTTGTAAGTAATAGTTTGTCTATAATACCTGTAATTAATAGGTCTATAATCCCTGTAAGTAATAGGTCTATAATCCCTGTAAGTAATATTTTGTCTATAATCCCTGTAAGTAATAGTTTGTCTGTAATCCCTGTAAGTAATAGTTTGTCTATAATCCCTGTAAGTAATAGTTTGTCTATAATCCCTGTAATTAATAGTTTGTCTATAATCCCTGTAATTAATAGTTTGTCTATAATCCCTGTAAGTAACCCAACAATTCTCTTGGTCGATTTCATAATTTTTGTTAATAAGGATATAATTACGTAAATCTATCTAAACATATCTTGACCATCGTTTTTCTTGTACGTTTTTGAGGAAAAATGATAAAAATGATAATAGAAGAGGTTAAAGACTTGGAAGATTGTATGATTGATTTTAGAATGTCAGGTTTAAATCCCTCAAAATTAATCAGTTTTAAAAATAAAAAAAATCCAATAGACTACTTTACATTCGAAAGAAATTGTTATATCCAGGTTCGAAAAATTCCCTTTCATCCGATTCTAGACAAAAGTTTGGATAAAATAATAATCAATAATAATAAGAACAAAACTGACCAAAAATATTTTTAGGTATGGAAGAAGATATGATGATAGACGCGACGACTTTGATCGAAGAGATGATAGATATAATCGCTCACGAGATCGTGATCGATATGAGCGAGATCGACGGGAGCCAAGTGATAGGAGAGACCGTCGCGACGACCGGCGGGACGGTCACCATCATCGTCATTCTTCTGACAGGCGATCTTCAGAACGAACAGACGATTACTCTCGGAGCCGGCGATTATACCGTGGAGAATCTGATGACGATCAAACTAAACAAGAAGATGGAGCTTTTGATATTACTAAGATTACTCCTATTATGAAGTACATTGCCAAACATCTTGAAGAGGCTAAGTACCCTCTAGAGCTTAGAGGACCCTTTGCCTTCAACCATGATTCTCCAGGTCTGTCAAAGCATTTATTTGTCGCGTTTAAAATGGTTGAGATCCTGGAAGCGGCGGGGTACGACCAAGGAAAGATGTACATGCAAGCCATGTTCCCCATGGGGATGGGAGACACAAAGAAGGAGATAATTGAGAAGGCCACAAAGGGATCATTACATCCAGAGATTAATGGACCGAAGCTGGTGAAGATGTGCGTCAGATCAATTAAATGCTTTATTGCATACTTCAGTGGGAAAAAGGATGATATTAAGAGTAGCGATGATGAAGAGGGTGAAGATGATAATGATCGGAGTAGCAGTGGTAGAGAAACTAGAACTGTGAACACAAGTCTCAGTGCCATCCTTGGTAGGATTAAGGAGAGTGCGGGAGAAGAGATGAATCCTGACTCCGACCCTCTCAATAGGGTTTTAGAGACACCCAATTATAATGTCAAGAAACCGGGGTTAGCAGAGATCCCTGATACAATACACAACCATTGGGATACAATGGATACTCAGATCAGAGCTGATCATCTGAAATCTTTCACTGGTCTTCAGAATCACTTTAGTAAACAGTTGATGGGAAAAGGATTGGATCCCCGTGATGCTAGAGATGAAGCTGCGAACTGCATGATGTGCCTTGTAGTCACAGGATGGAGTGACAGTATGCTTCGTGAGATGGTTACCAGGTTCAAGAAGACGATATTACCGGAGCAGAACGCATTGGAGGATCGAAGAACAGGGTCGGATAGAACCTTGTTTGATCAGATGGTGGATTTGATGCTGAAGCACCAGGCTGAGTTCCCTTGGGCCGTGATGCAGCAGATAGAGCAGGAGGATAATCCCAAGGAAGCATTGCTCAAGCGTGTTCGGAACATTGTTGAAAGAATGTTGAAGTTCTATATGCGGGGTTGTGGGAAGCTTCAGGAGGGTCGAGAACAGTTCACAACACAACCCAATGCTCCAGGAGATTATCAGTTTAATTATCTTCCCGAGGGGTTGAGAGAGGATGAGGTTAATTCAAGTCACGTGACCCCAAAGAAGACTGAGAATAATTTCTTTAATATGGAGGCTGCAGCAGTTGCTAATAGGAGCTTCTCCACCTACACCAAGAGACACAGTGTGGATGAACCTGGTCAGGACTGGGAACCAGTTTCTCCAGATAACGGAGAAATTATTAAAGGTGCGCTTCCTAAGAAAAAATACTTATTTGGAACTATGTACATAGACACACTGCAGTACAGAGGCTCTAACTTTGTGTACGAAATTGGTCTGTACATGTCAGACACTTCATCCTGCGAAGTGAACATAGTTCCTACTAACTTGTACAATCAGAGGAGTGTACTTGAAATGTTGGGTTTCTCCTTTAACCCAGAGGAAGGGAAGTTTATATTTGTAAAACCTGGAGGAGGTTTCCAGAAAACCTACGGAGAAAAACAAGGGTTGGAGAAGATTATGCAGTTCCTGAAAGAGAAAAGATACGAATCTAAAGGGGACAGTAAAAACGCAGGTTTAGTTCTCACCACACAAAGCACAGAAGAATTAGCAACCTGGGAAATGTTTTCCAGGTTTCACAAGGTTGATATGGAGTTGGATAATATTGTTGCCGGATATGGAGTCCTTGATCTGTTTATTGAAGACTCCCAGGGTGCATATAGTTATGTTGGACCCAAGATGAACCGGGAGCCGGATAAAACCTTCTTTACCTGGGAGTATAACCGGTCCGGTCGCGCCAGTGAGAATATGGCGGGAACAAAGGCGGGTTCAGTTTTTAAGATTTTGGAGGATTTACTGGAGGCTGCTCCAGATTATGAAAACTTTTTCAGACAATACTGTTTCCAGACCTCAGATTCAAGGTGGGTGGTTATCATAATCTAATAGAAATGGAATAAAAATACCTTCCATTTCTAATTATTTTAAAAATCAAAATTGGGGAAGGTATTTTTTAAAACTTTTATAGATCTGAAGTAGTAATTTGTGTTTATTTTTCTGTTTGATTTTATGTCCGACCTATGACTGATTTGCCAGGCAGAGCGAGTTTATTATGAACTTAGTTGAATTTAATTTCTATTGAGTCGGTTAAATATACAAGATTAAGAAACAAGGGTACCGTTTAAAATTGTACAACACTGGCATCATTGCATATAGGACCACTTAACATTACGTGGACAGTCCCTTTATTTAACCAATTTTCTATGTAGGTTTGATGAGCTGAGACGCCGTCAGAACATTATCAAGGATCTGCACACATTAGAGTGCTTCCTCTCCGAGTCCTTGAACGAGAGAACTATGAGAAGAAAGATATATACCGGGGGTATATTCTATCCTGGATCCACTGCTGAACTAGGAGACAAACCGGGACTCATTGCAGCCAGATTTATCAGGTATCAGACAATACTGGTGTAGTTATTTTTCCCCGTAAAGGTTCTGATGCTTATTTTATTTGAGCATTAAATGTTCTGTTTTCTTCGTATTGCTGAATCGTCGAAATTTTTGCAATATGAACTTGCCAGATTATTTTCATTTTTTACCCCCCCCCCCTCAAAATATACAACCCTGGAGCTAAACCAATCTGTGTTAAGGTTGATGGTTGCGTGTGGATTGAGTCGACCTGCTCTACGGGATCGGGCTGCAGAGTGCAGGGAGAGAGGAGCAGAGTTTATCCTGCCGTTGGAACCGGTTCTCAAGGGTCTACGTAAACAGGAGGAGAAGGAGAAGTAAGTTTTACTTTAAGGAGAATCAGAAAACTAAGGAATTGGAACCGACTTTAGGCTAAAGTTTTAAGACTTCTAATAGTCCAATGACAATGAACATGAAACACAGAAGTTTTGCAGTGTAAACAGGCCCATCAAATGATATAATAAGTTGATAGTAAAACTATTTGCCTTGTAATAACATCAAATTAAGTTATGCTTAATGTCGTCTTCCTATTCCAGAGTTTTCGGGTTTTCACTGCAATTGGACTTCCCAAAAACTATATATATTATATATACAGAAGACCTCTTTTTTCTAGGTTCATGTTTTCGAATTAGTATTATTATAATGATTATTGATAAAAAAAATTGTCATTATTTTTGGATATTGAACAAAAAAACTAATTGTTTAAACATTTTTTCGTCAATGCTAAACTCGTGTTTATACTCACTATTAACGCATGTAATTTCTAACATGGGCAATGGTCATTGGTGAAAACATTTTAAGTTCTTTCGAGGGGGTCATTTTGAGTTAATAAATAAGATAAGGGTAGGTGTCATCGAGTAATTCGGTCGAAATTTATTTGTCGATATTTGAGTTAATTTTTATTAACTTAGATGCAGAGAGCAGATCTACCAGCTGACAAAAGAAACAGAACAATTCTTGATGAACAAATAATCCTAGGAGAAACTTATCCCAGATCCTTAGTTGAATTCGTCCTGGAACAAACTTCTGCCTGCAAATCTATATTTTAGTTCAAGAATTCACCACTAATCCTATTCGTGGCGCTGTTTGTTCGTCATTTTGCTCGATTTGTTTTAATTTTTGGAGAAAACTTGTGATTTTTTGCCTGCACATAGGCACTGTGTTCAGAACTTAAATTGAGATATTTTTTTTGCTAAAATACATTGTAAATCACCTTTGGAAAATACTACCCCTACTGATATTTGTTCTATATTGTAAACTGGAGTATATAATATCGAGTGCAGTGAATATGTTTAGACTTGATCTTTAGTCTTAACTGTTTATCTATTTTCAGAATAGAAAATGCCGAGCACTGGACAGAAAAGCAAAAGCTAAACAGGTGAACAAATCATCAAAGTAGAAAAAATTATATTATTCTGTAAAGTACATTTAAGATTGTTTCAGAAAATATTTAATAAAAAGGTTTACTAAAGTTGTTTGAGGTCAACGCTTTTGTGTTGTTAAATTAATTCTTTTTTTAAATGGTAAACATATTAAATAAAGTTCTTTTAAAAATGTTCAAGTATTTAAACAAAGAACTTGATGCTAAAAACTGCGATAAATCTGAACCCTAAAAAATACTTGATGCCTTCTTAACAAAAGTGTCTGTCATTGTCCATAGTAGATGTTAAGTCCAGTAGTGTAAACTTGCGCTTTCTTAATCGAAAGTTCCGGAACTGGAATTCTCTCCGAATCCACTTTTAATGTTTTCAGGTCAACACCTTCCTACCTGGGATAAGGTGAGAGATAAATACACATATATCATTTTATATTATTTACCCTTAATCACTGCAAAGCAATCGGATATTTTTCTTTTACCGGGGGTATATATATTTAGCAAAAATCCCGCAAATATCACTTGTTTTGTACCAGATATGTTGTTAAAAGGTTATCCTTAAAGAAAGAGACGTTAATGACTGTTTAAAAATATATCTTATGGCGAACTTTGTGTCTCAAAAATTTAATAATCTAATTTTTAACCAAGTGATTTGACCAGAAAAGAAACAAGTTTATAGTTGCAGGAACAAAGAATGTAAGAAAAAGTTCCTACTTTCTTCTTTGAAGTCTCATTCTTTGTGGGTAACCCTGTACATCATCTTGACATTTTGTAATATAAACAAATTTATCTGAATGTACCTAAAATATTTTCAACAAAATTAAGAATTTTTCTTGAAGGAAGGGTTCGCGGGGGGATATATATACCCCCTGTTTTTCTCTACTCTGACTAATTTTGATTCTTATGGTAAATAATCTTGTCATGCATTGTTGGATGATACAATCAAGCGAGCTGGTGTCGACATATGGGGATTGGGGTCAATCATAACTAACAAGTTAAATATTCAATTTTCTCGCTTGGTTTCTCACAACAACTCATATTTAGGTCAACAATTACTTAATATTCACACAATGTACCTGTCCAGAATTTTTAATCCATAATGAACTGGCCTTTGCTATTAAGATTGCTATTATTGAATTCAAGAAGAAAGCATACTGTGCTGTACAGTGTACATCGGATAAAGAATTTAACCATAAATTATTACTCAAAGATATACACTAACTAGCCTTATTCTAACATACTGCGCGCATGCTTTGTTAAAAATATTTTGTAAGATTAAATTGTAGTTGCACTTGCAATTTTTCTTGCTCAGTGCAAATACTATTTAAAATATTTGCATTTTGATTTGATCACTGTAGTTTCTGTACTTATGGAAGACTGTACTGTAAGGGATTGTAGACGTAATTTAAAGTTACCCTACAATTAAAAAAGTGGCGTTCTGATGCGAAACCTTAACCTTAAATTTTTTCATAAATATTTAATTTTGGAAGGATTTATGCGGTATGCTACAAAAACAAAGAAAAAAAAATCTGGAAGAAAAACAACTTTATCTTCTGATGGTTCCCCAGCTGAAGGATTAAATGGTACTGTTGTGAATTGGGCATGCTAATTCTTTACTTGAGGGTTACCTAAAGTTACGTTTACAATCACTTAGAAATTAGTTTACTATTTGTTTTATTAAAAGATAAAGATTTGCTATATTACTTAAAACATACTTATTGCAGTACATTCATTTATTCTTCTAAAAGATCTGTACTCGTAAAACTATTTTTAATCCAAGTACAAACTTGTGGTAGTACAACTCTATAATGTATTGCATTGCTAAGTACTAAACGAAAAAGCTTATCTCTACATGTTGTGCTCACTTCAGATTTTAAACTAATTGCAAAAACTATGGATGGAAAAATACATGAAAACTTGGAAGAGTTTCTCAAGTTTTAAACGCAAATATTCTTTACTTTCCTAATTCAGAATGAAATAAAACTTTGGTGAGTTGTTTAAGAATTTTTTTTTGTACCGTCACATATTCAAATATTTTAGCGCAACAATGAATAGGATTTAGCAAAAACGATAATAAGAATTTATATTGTTATGATTTTGTTTTTATTGCAAAGAATTATTATTAAAAGAAGTGTAGTGCTCAGGAAAGAGTGCTTGCAGTTTTATCAAAACTTTATAGAAGCGAAAAGAAAATTCTTAAATGTTACTGATCTGATGAGCTAGCTTTAGCTTATATCGACTATTTATGAACTGATCATTCTTCTCAAACTCAAATCCTCTTAATATATCTTTGCAACTTTGATGTACCAAGAATTCTGTAAGCTCAAATACTCAAAGTTTAAATTATCAAAGGTTTACACCACCAGGTTGCAAATGTAAAATAATTAGAAATCCGGAGTTTGAGGCAAGTGACCAGTTCCTTGTTTTAAAAAGCGGTTTTAAGAGAAAGTTATTGCAAATTTTCGGTGATATAGAAACTTGACAAACAAACTCCAATTTCTAGCGGAACTTCTTTGCTGGACATTAGACTGAAACGTAAGATGATATCAAGTATGGTATTACCTTGCTTTTGCTAATCTTGGTGCATGTCATTCTATGTCTGACAAGAATTGATAGGCTAATAGTAATGATGAAAGGGGTGACCATTTTTTGCACTTTAACAACTTAGATAATGGTAGCACTTAAATTCATGGTAGTGAACAAATTATTTTTTTTACAAATCACTATCAATTATAGCTCATGAAATAAATTTCAGACAAGAAAAGAATGTGATTTGCTACTTTCAGTGGTTTTTAAGGAACTTATCTTGCGTGCACCACTTGTTGACCTAAATATGGGTTGTGTTCTATGAGTTATGTCTTCAAATTGTCCCTTCTCCATTAACTTTCTTGGTATAACTTTGGGAGACGTTACGATTTGAGTAAAAAAATGAGCCGAAGAAAAGTAGAAAATAAAGTTTAGGCGGTAGAGAGGTGAGCCAGTATGTACAAAAATCTTAGAAAAAAGTACACATCAACTCTTTGTAGTTTGTGACCAAATTACCTTTATTCTCTACTTTTCTGTGGGAAATATCTGCCATTTGTAGTTAAAAGCCTATTTGAAAACTTCAAATTTTGCTTTTGGCCTAAATGGGAAAGATTTCAATATTACAACAATGAAATAGGATTTGTCCAAAGTTTTTCTTATGGGGGGGGGGGGTTTATTTAAACTACCTGTTCAATGATCCTGTTTCATGGTTAATATCTTTTTAGCTTCACCCACTGCTGTGCTGATCTCTTGAGGTTTCCGTGACAGCTCCACAATATATTTACCAATGGCAGCCAATAATTATTACGGCATTCCGGTGCATGGGCAGGCAGGGTCGTACACTGCTGCGGCAACTGCCTACCCTGCCACACCCGGTGCCATTGGATACACCGCAGTGGGTCATGCTACCGCAGCAGCAAATGCGGCAACATCATATGCTCAAAGGGTCCAATCTAATGCAGGCCAAGCCGCCTATACTGCTTACCCCCAAACTGCGCCCACTTATGCTGCTGCCGCGCCTGCAACTCCTATAGTTGCTGCAACTGCAAACGCGGCATATTCATATCCAGCGCAATATGCGGCAGCAACTGCAGCTGCTGCACAGCACTTGTCAACTGCAGCACAACAACAGGCGGCTGCTGCAGCCGCAGCTGCAGTTCCTGCGTATTATCCACAGCAAAGTATTGCATCCGTAACATATTCAACTATTGAGAATGCTTACCAGACACGACCAACCTACAGTCATGCGGCTGGCTATGCGCATGCACAATTGGCGGCCGCCGCCGCTAGACCAGCAATGGCCGCTGCCGCTGCAAGGTCCGTATCATCCTATCTTCCCGCCTATACATCAGCCTATACCTATGCGGCATCTACCCCAACAACATCCTATAGTTACCCACCAACCCAGCTACAGGCAAGCATCTCTGCTGTTGGAAAACCAAACATCTATGTACAACCACATCAGGCAGCAACCATCAACCTCACTCAAGTCCCTGTCGGAACAGCTAAAGTTGGAACATGGAGAGCTGTCAAACCCATCGGAGCTATCGGACAAACAGCTGCCGCAGCCGCTGCTGTCTCCCGAGTGTTCAAAGGACCTCGTATTCCTCCGAAGCCCCAACAGCTCCACTACTGCGAGGTTTGCAAGATATCCTGCGCTGGTCCGCAAACCTACAAGGAACATCTGGACGGACAGAAGCATAAGAAGAAGGAGGCGAGCATGAAGACGGGAGTTGCTGGACCAACTACACGAGGAGGAAACGCACTCCGGTGTGAGCTCTGCGATGTGACTTGTACTGGATCTGATGCCTATGCAGCACATATCAGAGGAGCTAAACATCAGAAGGTTGTAAAGCTTCACACTAAGCTTGGTAAGCCGATCCCCTGCGTTGATCCAGTTCTAGTTACCAAGGGATCCACTGGAACCACTAATACAGCTCCTGCTGGAGCTCAAAATATTACAAATCTCGCCAAGTCTGGATCAGGATATACAGGAGCTGTTGCTAGACAACCTGCGGTTCCCAAGATTACATTTGTTGGAGCAGACAAGATCAAGACGGAGGGCGTGACTGTAAAGGTTCCGATTCCGAGATCCTATCTGAACGAACAGGGATTCATCATCATCATAGACATTTTCATTTTATTTTTGCAATTTTCATTAAAAGTAAATCTTTATTTTGTAGCGGATAATTCAGAAACCATTCCTTTAATAGTTAAGAAACTTTTTGCCCTTTTCACAACACGCACTCGCCTCAAATGGTAATTTTTTATCGCGTTATTTTTACAACTTTAAGTCGTATACAAATAATGTTACATACTATGAATGCTATTTATTTAAAAATTCAAAGTTTAGAATATCATAGGATGCAACTTGCAAAGATATGGACATCTGAAAAATTAAGAAAAAGTGTTCAGTTCCATAAAATTTATCGTCAAACAGTTTTAAATTCTAAAATTTCTGAAATATGATTATGAATGTGCATTAGGAGGTTACTATTCCTCGTCTGCCCGAGGAGAAAGATGTTCAACCCGTTGGCCATGATTACATTGAAGAAATCAAGAGTGACGACGGCAAGGTCGTCTCGTTCAGCTGTAAGCTCTGTGAGTGCAAGTTCAATGATCCAAACGCGAAGGAAATGCATATGAAGGTGAGACACGTTTGGATTAAATGGATTATTCTCAAATTGGTCCCTTTAATCCTACGATGTTGGGTTTTTAGGGATTTTAAATTTAAACAAATGATTTTTGGTTTAGTTATTAACGTAATTATAAATGAAACTTGCTTCAGATTCTCAAAGATTTTAAGACCATGTACAATTTTAAAGAAAATGTAATATGGACTCATGCTGCGGAACGGTAAAGGAAAAAAACATTTTCAGACGTTAGAATGGAAATATGTTTAAACCTCACTTTTTTATCAGAAGATTACTTACGTCTATTGTCCCTTTCTTTTATCAGAAGATTACTTACGTCTATTGTCCCTTTCTTTTATCATAAGATTACTTACGTCTATTGTCCCTTTCTTTTATCATGAGATTACTTACGTCTATTGTCCCTTTCTTTTATCATGAGACTACTTACGTCTATTTTCCCTTTCTTTTATCATAAGATTACTTACGTCTATTGTCCCTTTCTTTTATCATGAGATTACTTACGTCTATTGTCCCTTTCTTGTATCAGAGGATTACTTACGTCTATTGTCCCTTTCTTTTATCAGAGGATTACTTACGTCTATTGTCCCTTTCTTTTATCAGATTACTTACGTCTATTGTCCCTTTCTTGTATCAGAGGATTACTTACGTCTATTGTCCCTTTCTTTTATCAGAGGATTACTTACGTCTATTGTCCCTTTCTTTTATCAAAGGATTACTTACGTCTATTGTCCCTTTCTTTTATCATGAGATTACTTACGTCTATTGTCCCTTTCTTGTATCAGAGGATTACCTACGTCTATTGTCCCTTTCTTTTATCAGAGGATTACTTACGTCTATCGTCCCTTTCTTTTATCAGAGGATTACTTACTTCTATTGTCCCTTTCTTTTATCAAAGGATTACTTTCGTCTATTGTCCCTTTCTTTTATCAGAGGATTACTTACGTCTATTGTCCCTTTCTTTTATCAGAGGATTACTTACGTCTATTGTCCCTTTCTTTTATCAGAGGATTACTTACGTCTATTGTCCCTTTCTTTTATCAGAGGATTACTTACGTGGAAGATTACTATCTATTGCTTGTCGTAATTTTGATTCTTTTGACCCAGCAGAATTTATAGTTTAAACAATCAAAGGATTTCAAAATTTTAGTTTGAGGTGAGTTATCAGTTCCTCTCTAGGCAACCCGAAGTTGGCATGTTTAACACGTTTTGTTTTATCAAAGGAAGCAATTTTTTGCCACAAACCACTCAATTTTCCGATCCCTATATCTTTGCAACCTGGTGGTGAAAACCTTTGACATTTCAAACTTCGATCTACTACATCGAAAGATAGAACTGATAGAACATGAGTTTGTGGCCAAAACTCGATTTCTTTTTTTAGGGACGTAGGCATAGACTGCAGTACAAGAAGAAAGTTAACCCTGATCTAGTGGTTGATATTAAACCAAGTCTCCGACAGCGGAAACTACAGGAGGAGAGAACCAAGAGAAGCCAGGCCAGGGAGGAGTTCTGGAAGAGAAGGGAAGAGGATTTCAGGTCAGTGCAGGCTTTTTTTTAAGGGAGTGTTCGTAAAAAAACTAAATCGTACGAGCTTGGGAACCCAGCTTTTCCCGTCAACTAAACTTTGTTTCTTGAAGTCAGTTTACTCTATTTATAATTTTAAAACTTAGCTAAGAACATTCCTGTAATTCCACCAAATTCCTTAAACAAAATTTTAGGCAATTCTGTAAAGGGGTTCATATGCACTGCAGGGTGGCCAAAATGTACGGATTGTACGGATTTTTTATTTTGTAATCCTAAAATTGTACGGAATGTACTGATTGTACGGATTTTTTTTTAAATTGTACGGATTTTTATCCTGGAAATACACCGGGTTTTTTTTTAATTTTCACTCATTTCAGCAAATTTTTCATAAATTAAAAAAAAATCTCGTCAAAATGAAGTTAGTTTAACTTATTTTCTGCATTCTAATCAGGTTGATGGAGGAGGAGGAGAGGGTGTACTGGGCGGAGAGGAGAAGGTTTGAAGAGGAGATGGACGACATGAACTGGTACAGGAGGTTCCCTACCAGAGGTCCCAACGCCAGGTTCGGAGGACCAGGAGGTCCCTTCGGAGCTCCACATTTCATGCTGAGACGACCGGATACTGTGGACGACAGGCACTGCATGGCTAAGCATGAGACGATTTATCCAAGTGAGCCCGAGTTGGAATCTATACAGAAGATTGTTGGGCATACTGAGACAGCGCTGAAGAAAGTTAGTGATCATCTAGCATCCTTGGTAAGTTTATTATCAATACTGTCTCAAAAAATACATGATTGTCTGTGAAAAGTCTTCGGAGTCTTCTGATAAAATGTTTCCTAAATCACTAACTTGTCGATAAAATTTCACTTCAACCATTATTTGTGCAAATGTCAAAATAAAAACCTGTTCGTGCAGGGGTATATTTTTTCATGAAAAATCATTATCCTCCCCCTTGTTTTGAATTCCGATTAAAAAGAGGTAAAAACATAAAAAGTTAAGTTCAATTTTTCCCCTGCGAACTTGTTTAAGAAGTCTCCTTAACTATAAAAGTTAATGAGTAGTTGTATACTCCATGTTGTTCAGGAGCCTGGTGTAAAGAATGGAAATGATAAGAAGGAAGAGGATGGAAAGACTAGAGTATTGGTTGGTGTTATGAGGGTTGGTTTACTCGCTAAACAGCTCCTTCTCAAGTAATTTTAAAATTCTCTTACTTGGACAAGGGGGGATTCTCCAAGAATCGTCTTCATTTAAAGGGAGTGTTCACGAAAAATGCCTCGAAAAATAATCGATGACTATTTGGGTTTTATTCGTCAAATTGAGGAAATAAATCATTTTTAATTTTTTGGGGTAAAAAGTATAAAAAGGCAGATTAAAATTAAGGCTAGATGAATTGAGTTTCTTTATTGTTACGTACATAGACAGCTGGGCTTATGAACTATATTTTTGTAATAATCAAAAGCAAAGATTGTTAACAAGGTTCCGTTGAAGAGGGGGCCGGGTCTTTGAGTGTCTGGATAACCCTAACCTCCTTATTCTAAGAATTGTCTGACGTCCGTTAATATCAATTAGAATTTTTGGTTGATTCAAAAAATTGTCTTAATTGATGTAAACATATTTCTGCTTGGATCTATTTTTAAGAAGAAAAAAACTCAAGTCAAACTATATATTAATGAAGGTGTTTTCTATACTGTTTATGTTGGTCTGTAATATAATGAACAAGAGAATTTTGAATATGAGTAGATTCTGTAAAGCATTAAATTGTAAATTTTCTTTCTAATTATTGAGATATTTAAAAAAACAACTCTGTTTTAACCTAATGATTTTAAAACTATTGTGGCCTTTATTTTTACAAGTGTTATAAATTTGAAATACATATAGATCGAAAGATTATTACATTTTCTTTTATAGAGCATTGCCAAAATTGCCCTTTATCGTTGTTAAATGGATTATTTTGCAGGAAAACTAAATAAATATAAAAACTCCTGTTTTTCGTCTGCAAACCGGTAGAAGGTCCGGATACTGACCTCCCCTTTATTATTGTTTAGTAGTTTGAGTGTCCGGATACTGACCTCTCCTATATTATTGTTTAGTAGTTTGAGTGTCCGGATAACCCTGACCTCCCCTATGATGAGAGAGACCGAAGAAGAAGCTGCTACAGCCGCTACACTTGATCCTCCAGATGTACTTGACCACGACAGGTGGGTTATTCCCCCCTCCCACTACAAAATCCCCGTCCCCTTCTACAAGATATGAAAGATTTTCTTCTAAAAAAGAATACTTTTTATTTCGAATGTGGGATAATTAGAAATCTTTTGTTACTTTTTTACTTAATTCTTTTTTAAGTATATTTCTGATAAAATATTCAAATTTTAATATTTTTTTTAATAAGTTTTGTAACCCAACATTTATTTTACCACTTGGATCTTTAGGGGATTTATTGTATGTATTTGGATCAGAATCTAGGAAAGTTATTTTCAAAGTTTTTAAAAAGTAAGAAAACTAAAAAATGGAATTTTTTGAGATATAAATAATTGTTTGACCCACGGTTGTATAACGCCCTGTATTCTCTAGGTGTATCCAGGCACTAGCGGAGCTAAGACATGTAAAATGGTTCCATTCCAGAGCTTTATCCAGGCATTCATGCACAGTCGTCATCAGGTATTTATTCTTCTCAGGGATAAATAATTTTATGAAGTATTTGACATTTTCATATTTTCCAGGAATGTTCGAAAACAAGTTGTAAGCTAAATATTATTTAAAAAAAATAAAAATCAAAACTAGTATGAAATATCAAATGTATACAAATGTGGCGAAAGATAATCGATGACTATAGGTTGTAATATCTGAATGATTTGTTTGAAATTAAATTGATTTTTTACGGATTAAGTCGTATTTTGCAATTTTCTGAATTTGTATGGGTGCTAAGTTATTCGGTATGAGACATCTTTAACAACTTTCTCCTTATAGACGCAACAGATAGAAGTAAGATTAGTCACGATCAAAAGCGCTTTTTTATCGCATTAAGCCTATACCCCCTTTAATTTTTCGCGAACACTCCCTTTAACATATATTTGTATTTCCGATCACCCCTGCACTGTACAGCTAGGTTAAAACATTTTAAAACTTATATGTATACCCTTCCATACAACGCTGAGTTCCAATGCCGGTTGTTCATGTTTAATTATGTTTAGGATTCTACGAGATCTGTGTGTCCGTAATCCTACCTGGAGTCCTTTATCCTGCTGGTCTGTTGAACTACTGGTTGAGAAGGTTCTTAACTCGGCTGGGTGTCCTCTCTCACCAGGAGATGCTCTAAGGTACAAAATAATCATTCAACATTTAACCTATCCCCCCCTCATACAGTGGGTTTTAGTTTCATATACATTATACTTGATTGGAATAACATTAACAGTACTGGAAGTAAACCTAATTTGTTTTCCTATAAGACGACCTTTCTAAACGTCTTTTTCTAAATGAAGGACTTTGTCTGGTGAGTAAGTATTTGAGACACATGATAATACAACTATCTAATTAATTCAACTTCGTGTTTTTTTGGTTTCTAAAAATAAATTAACATATTTTTTGTTTTCAGACGCGTGTTTGAGGCTCTGGCCGGTGGAATCCTACTCCCCGACAGCCCCGGGTTCCTGGACCCCTGTGAAAAGGAACCCATGGACGCGGCCGCCGATCTGACCAACCAGGAGCGCGAGGATATCACCAGCAGTGCTCAACACGCGCTTAGAATGATCGCTTTCCGACAAATTCACAAAGTTCTCGGGATCGAGGCGCTCCCCGCTCCTAAACAGTGGAGGGCTGCACGGAAACGTCGAAGGGATTCAAGTACCGGCGAGGGAGAGGAGGCAGCAGAGGAGAAAAAAGATAAAAAAGAAGCTTGAAAGCTATTAAGAATAAGAATTTTTTGAACGCTGAATAATTATCTTATCCCATCCCTCCGTGTAGGAAAGATGAAAAGTGAATCCCAAAATACCATTTTTTAATTTGCGTAAATACTTAAATAAGCTTAAATAATGCTGAAGTTTATAGTATGTACAGTGTACATACCAATTGTGTTCAGTATTTCTCAGATTTAATAATTATATCTGAACACATTAATCCCCAACCTTTTACTTGAAATGTGGGGCCTTGTTATTGTTTAATTTTAATAAGCGTGTTGTTCAATTTTTGTAATTAATTAAATAAAATTTTAAAAATTAGATTTATCGAACTTTTTTGAGGGAAAGAAATAGTATTTTGATCGTGCTGCTAAGATTCGAATTGTCTACTTTCTCTCGTCAATTTTAAGAAAAAATTTGTTTTTAAAATCAATTTTTGTTATTAAATTTTCCGTTGAATCCGTTTAATTTCAGATTGTTTAGATGAAAAATGTCTGTCGGAGGTTGAATTTTAATCTTTCCTGATGAAAGATTCTCTTTCTCGGAATAAACTTCCTTATTTCATATTTTTCTTCAAAAAAACTACCTTTTTATTAAAATGTAACATAAATAATAATGCTCTTTGCTCATATATATTTATATGTTAGCTGTAGACGGTCAAATGGCTGGACCAATCTGGCTGACATTTTTTGAGAGCACCCTTGAGGCTAAGAAATTAGATTTTTTTCTAAGGTTTTTAAAAACGTACACACTTATAATTGTTTAAATTTTCTACTCAATTTTTTTCTTTACTGCCTTGGTGTTGTTAATTGTCTTGGTGTTGTTAATTGTCTTGGTGTGTTAATTTTCTTGGTGTTGTTAATTGTCTTGGTGTGTTAATTGTCTTGGTGTTGTTAATTGTCTTGGTGTTGTTAATTGTCTTGGTGTTGTTAATTGTCTTGGTGTGTTAATTTTCTTTCAGGGACCGTAATCGTTATCCCACGTGACATTCCATTTTTAGAGTGGCAGGTCCGATTCCAATGGTACCCTTCTAATCTTTATCTGTTTTTAATTCTGACAACTTCCGTCCTTTTCTCCTTTTCTCCTGCTTTATTAGCGCGCAAGAATTCCATGTGACAACGAATTTTGTTAGCCATCACTATCGCTAAATTATGTGCTAGTTTCAGTGGTTCTCGAAAAAAGGTTATTAAAAATGCTGCTTTTTTAATCGTTATATTAAAGAATTTAACAATGGATCCATGTTTAAAGGTTGGTATTGACTATTGATGTTGAACAAAAAACTAAATATTACAAACGAATCAAAAAGAATATTTACTGTTTTCAGATTTCACATGATAAACGAGACCAAGATGTCGTCACAGACCAGGGATTTTCGTCGACGATTGAAGAAAATCGTCAACGATGTATCAACCCTTCAGCTGTCGTTCGAAGAAGCACAGGAATGAGCAAGTCCATGGAAATATTGAAAGATAAAATATTAAAATATTATTTATCTTTTGCGTCAACAATCCCAAAAACGGAGTGGGTACAAAACGTTTATGATACAAAAAATCGAATAACAAAACGTCGACATTTACTAAATGTTACATGATGTTATTTAAAGTAAGATTAAGAAAAAGAAAAATTTCTGGCCCGAGCGCTGCGGTCTCTTCAGTCTTGAATGTTAAGTTTAGCTGATTAGTTCACGCTTCTTACTTAACAATTTTGTTGGTCCAGGATTCACCGACAAATGGTCAAACGACACAGGGTCAAACAACAAAAGGTCAAAATGATAAAAATATTTTTTGGTTTGAATCGCAATTTTAATCACAAAAATCCGCCAAACTTTTTTGAAAATTTAAAACTTTAGTCTGATTTTGGCTTCCATAATGGTCGGGTTGGCAACATTTATTGCTGCAAGACAAGGTAGTAGGATCATTGTAGATGAACAGGGATATCATTGCAAGAAGTGTAAACAAGAAGACGGGTGTAAGCTATTTGAGGTGTCGGGATAAGATTGCTGAAAAATGCGATGCTAGAGCCATTCTTATCGACGAATCTGTGATAATTAAGTCTGTTAAATTTGGAGTAATGCAGAGCAGTACAATATGTAGTTTTTAAATGTATATTATAACCTTTTTTTCATAGTTTTGTAGACAAAAATATTCATTGCATTGAATTATAAATATAGAAACCAATAATGATTTTTTCAGTAAATAAATTTGTTCAGTGTTAGAAAAAAGAATGGATAAAAACTAAACAGGTGTCTAACTGTAACAGATGACAAAATAAAATAAAAATTGCCCTTTTGTCGCATTTTTTGACCCTTTTGTCGTTTTACCCTTTGTCGTTTGACTCAGTGTCGTTTGACCCTGTGTCGTTTGACCCTGTGTCGTTTAACCCTTTGTCGGTGAATCCAAAATATTGTGAGAGACATCACAATCAATATTTAAGAGGCCGCAAAATTGCCTCAGCATACCTAACCCAACATAATGAAACATTTTCTTATTTGACGTTTGTGGGTGTCGACTTTTTGTAATTTCGACGTTTTTTTGCCCCCCCCAAAAAAAAAAAAAAAAAAACTGGGACTTTTTTTTCTTTTTTTTTCGAAAATAATTATTTTTATCTCTAAATCATTGTTTTCGTCACAAGTTTTTATTTTCTATGATTCAGAAAAGTTTTTATGTGAAACGAGAAGGATTGTTAATTACAGACAGAATTTGAAATTTTGCTGCGTGACCTAACATCACTACCGCCTATACCTTGTAATATCAGAATAGAATTAGGAAACATGCACATTGCACATCTCAAATTTTGTCAGCTTACAAAAATAATTTTCAATGACAAATAATTCCAATGACAATATCCACCTAAAATTTCTTGCTCACTCCTTAGTGGGGAGCAACAACCTCTCAAGTGATGAATTCCCAAATTGTATTTTCAAATTTGAAGCTTTTTCTCGCAAATGTCAGTCTAGAAAAAAAAAGAATATATTTCTATCGTTTATGATATGTCTGCACATGACAGGAGTAAAAGTATTAGAAACCTTAAGGTCATGCATACAGGGTTACCCACAAAGGATGAGACTTAAATGACGACCTTAAGCTCTTTAAATTCAACTATCTGAAGGTTGAATTATAGTTAAATCTAGACTTCAGTCTCAAATAGAAAGCAAAGAAAAAAAGATTACAGTTATGGGTAACGAAGAATGCAAGAAATCTGGATAGTTGTCTCGTCTCTTGCTTTGTGGGTAACCCTGTACTTGAATCTAACTTTCGTTTCTCTGTACGATTACTTAATCCCAATCAATACGCAATTGCATTGTGCGCTAGCCCCCCCCCCCTTCTTAAAAATAGCTCTAGTTGCACTGAAAGATTTTTTGGGTGGGCTGCTACTGTTAATTTAATAATGTGTTGTTGTTGTTAGCGTGTGTCTACAACTTCGTAGTTGTTGCAAATCCTAAACCTGGGAAAAATGTTCTTCATATTTTCGAGAAGAGGTAAAAAAAGTTTCCTGTCAAAAATTCACCTAATTTATTTTGACCATTTTTATTCTTGTTATCTTATAGGGGCTGTAACCGTAATTCCAAATGACCCTCCGTGCAAAGATGACAATGACCGATTTACAACGGTACCCTGAAAACTTGAAAAGCTTTGTCTTTGTATGAATTAGATAGCAATGTTTAAAATTTTGAAAACTGACTATTTTCAATTGTGGTTTCTTTACAAAAGTGACTACAAAATCGAACATATCTTCCTTTTTTTTAAGCAGATGAAGGTTTCAAGGATAACGTTGTGAATCGGGGATTGCCATTTTTACACGGAGGGTTACTTGAAATTGCGCTTACAGTTACTTCAAGTTAAAACACTGACTCATTATTTTGCTTATTTTGATCAGAGTGGCGAAATGGAAAACAAAATCTTAAAATCATCCTTTTTCCCTAAAACAAATCTTCCATATGTTTCCAATAAGATATTGCCGAAACTTCAATGTTCTTTTATTGGTTTTGAAATTCCAACTTGAAAAAGTAGTAAATGAACAAAAAAAATTGAAATTTATTTGTGTGTTTTTTTTTTAACGAAACCCGTTAATTTGCAGGGCAGATCAGAATCAAAATTGTCTGGTTCCCAAGCTCTGCTCTAAACCTTGAAATATTGAATTTAGTTTGGTTCGCTGTGTTGAAATGTTGAATCCTAGAATATCTGTCTCTTCTTCTACTTCAACCCAATGGACCTGCATAACATATCTACTCAGGAATAACAAATATATATTTATTATTTATGAGATCTATCTCAAATCTATCTATAAATTCTATCTAAACTCTATCTTTATAAGATCTATCTCAAATCTATCTATAAGTTCTATCTAAAATCTATCTATAAGATATATCTCAATTCTATCTTCAAGATAAATCTCGAATCTATTTATAATATCTATCTCAAATCTACCTATAAGATTTATCTCAAATCTATCTATAAGAACTATCTCAAATCTATCTATAAGATCTATCTCAAATTATGTATAATATCTATCTCAAATCTATCTATTAGATCTAACTTAAATCTATCTAAAAGATCTTTCTATAAGATCTATCCAAAATCTATCTATAAAATCGTATCTCAAATCTGTCTATTAGATCTATCTACAATCCATCAATGAGATCTATCTCAAATCTATCTATAAGATCTATCTCAAATTTATCTATTAGATCTATCTCAAATATATCTATTAGATCCATCTCAAATAAAAAATAAATTAGAAAAACATCGTTAAAAAAGATCCATCTCAAATCTTTCTATTAAATCTATCTCAAATCTAACTTTAAAATCTATCTTTAATCTATCTATATTATCTTTTCCAAATATATCTATTAGATCTATCTCAAATCTATCTATTAGAACTATCTCAAATCTATCGATAAGATAAATCTCAAATATATCTACAAAATCTAACTCAAATCTTTCTATAAGATCTATCTCAAATCTATTTATTAGATCTATCTCAAATCTATCTATAAGATCTACCTCAAATATATATATAAAATCTAACTCAAATCTATCTATAAGATCCATCTCAAATCTATTTATTAGATCTATCTTAAATCTATCTATAAGATCTTTCTCCAATCCATTTATAAGATCTATCTCAATTCTATTTATTAGATATATCTCAAATTTATCTAAAAGATATATCGAAAATCTATCTGAGTATCTCAAATCTATCTGAGTATCTCAAATCTTTCTACGAGATCTATCTCAAATCTATCTATAATATATAACTCAAATCTATCTTTATAAGATCTATCTCAAATTTATCTATTAGATCTATCAAATCTATCTATTAAACCTATCTCAAATCCGCCCATAAAATCTGTTTCGTATTTTCCATTTCTTATAACCCTGATTCTGTTCCGTTATGATTTTGGATATATCCTGTCAACTTAATCGGAATAAGAACAATAAATGATTAACCATCATTCCGTAGAGATCAAGGCCAAGCTTCCTTAAAAAATAACCGCCAAAGAACGTCCTGTTCTTATTTTGTATCACACAAAAACATAAAGAAATCTTCTTGATGTACATCCAGTGTACACACTGGTCCGAGCCTGGATCATAAAGTGGGATTATAACATGTCCCTAGGGATATTAGAAAAAAATTCTGTAGATCATATTTGTTAATGTTGAGTAGACAGATTGTAGACTCCAGGTTGGGTTCTACTGAGCTGACCCTGCTCCTAGCAGCTGCTACAGCACAGATTCTCTGGTCCGGAGATATTCAAGGTGTTCAGGATCTTCAACCCTTTGCTCAGCTTATACAGCTCCTAGATAAACAGGAACAAAACAATTATTTTAATTTTAGTATTTTTATCATTATTATTATTTTTTTTAAACATCTCAAATTTTAAGTTTAAAACTTAATATCTGACGAACTCTTGCACAACAGAACCCTCATCAGATTTGTCTAATCAAGAGTGAATAGAATTTCAACGTTTAACTCTTTTAAGATTTACTTCTTTCAATTGTGGTTTCTTTACAAAAGTGACTTGCGCATTTCTGCGGCAGAAACATTGATAGGAAATGATAACGTGGTGTACTAATGAACTAATTACCCGATATCGATTCTTCCAATCTCCATCTCTTTGCTATCTGATGAATAATAATTTGAAATATCAAGGGTCTACAACATCAGGTTGAAAAGATATAGATATTAGAAAAATAGAGCTTGAGGCAATAATCAGTTCCTTATGGCACACCTTGCCATCATGGACAGAAACCCTTGAACATTCAAAATAGCACTTATAATGGTTCCCCCGCAAATGAACAAAATGGGGGGGCGAAAATATCCCCACCCCCAACAACAACAACAACTTTCTTGTAAATTTTATTTTCTGTTTTGCAAGATGAAAGAAGAAAGAATGGAAGTTGAGGAAGAGAAGGATGAGAAGGATGAGGAAAATGAGGAGGAAGGAAATTTTGAGAATGAGATAAATGAGTTAAAAGTATTAAATATATTCTACCCAGCTCAGCTGGTTGGAATCCAACATGTTCACCTCACAGCTCAACTCAACTTTATTACTCTTAAACTTCTCAGGGAAATCATAAACATTAATTCAATCTCACAGCCAGGGTTAAAGAGGGCCCCACCCCCTCACGTGTGAGTTGTATTTTCTTTATCTTGATTTTATCTTTTAATGTGTTCCATATAAATCAGATCAAAGTTTAAATTGTATGCAAAATAACATTTCTTAATTCATAATTACACCTTTGAAAATGTAGACGCTGATAGATTTAATTTAGTGTTTATGGCTTAGAGGTCAGAATGTCAGCCTAGGTGAGGTTAAAGCCCTATCGGAGGTCCCTGACCTCGCAAACCTCAGAAAATTGTTCGAGGCCATGAAAGGAGTAATTAATAAGGAGAAAAGAAAACTGAAGGGTGAAGATGCCCCTTTAACAACGGTAGGTTACATGAAAAATCATGCCATGTTTCATACAGAAATTAAGCCCCTTCCTCTTAACCTTTAATCTTTATAAACGTTTACAAGGTATGTTTTTTTAATATAAAACATGATGTGTATTTTTATAAGTTGAATATTCATGAATGACTTAGGTAGTTGAAAAAGGTACGGTCAGGTTAACTATTGTAAGATGGCCCAGCAATGTTATTGGTTGAGTTGAACAGGGTTACCCACAAAGGATGAGACTTCTGTGACGATTGTGCGGAATTTGTTCAGCCTTTTCCCTTACATTCATGGTTTCCTGCAGCTGAATTCACTCGTATCAAATATACAACCTAAAAAAGTATAATTTAATGTTAAAGGTTATATTTAACCTTTAGATAATCATACATTAAGACTTTTAGGTCGTCATTAAAGTCTTATCCTTAGTGGGTTCTGGGTAACCCTGTTTTCCCCGACTTCATCTTGAAACATTGGTATCGGGGGTTTAAAGTTCTTGGAGTTTTCCTTGGAGTTGACAGTACTTTTGATCTTTCCGGTTCAAATGTTATCCAAAATATCTAGCTGTTATGTAATAATTATTAGATGAAGACATGGGTCCTTATGATTTTATCCACCCAAGTGTTGATCAATTAATATGTGGGAGTGTTTATTTTTCTGTATATCATAAATCATCTCTTTTATTGGTTACTGATATTTACATCTCTTAGCACCCCAAATACAGTACATATTTCTGAAATGTATTACAAAATAGCCCGATCCCAGATGGAATTACATTGATTCCTGGTTTTGGATTTTTCAGATGATGAACAAGGTTGGGTTTACTCTGAAAGGATTAGAGAAGTTGAATACGGACTCTGAGCAGGACTGGATCCAAGTCCTATATCTTTGCTCCAAGGTTTATTCTTTGTTTCGGAATCTAGCTGGTTGTAATAGAAAGCTCATTGTCTGAACTATATTAATAAAAGAATTCAATACGGAGATTTCATTAATAATTAATTAATTAATTTATTAAAGTTACTTTAAGAAAGAGGTGACTTTATCTGGATTGAAGTAAAATTAGAGTTTGTGACAAAGACTCAATTCCTTTGTTCAATTATTTTTTAAAAAGCTTTGTCATTTTGTTAAGAGATTTGAGTTTGGATAGAAGCTAAATTATGTCACGTAATTTATTTTGTTTTAATTCATTACATGAAGAATATTTATCAAGGCATTTTCTGTTGATGATCGAAATACAAAAAGAGAGCTTAACGCAATACAATCACAAAATAACAGGTAAAATTTAGATAAAATAAAGTTATAATATTGATGATGATGATAATATGGGATGATGATAATGACGATAATGCTGATAATGACAATAATAATTATAAAACGATGATAATTACAACGAATAAATATATAGATAATAAAAATAATAACAAATCATGATAATAACAATAATAAAAATCATCTTAATAAAAATAATGACAAATCATGATAATAACAATAATAAAAAATCATGATAATAATACTAATAATAACAATGATGATAATGATGATTCCTACCAAGTTTATTTCTAGCTGTGTTCCTCAGATTCTGAATATAATTATTCGAGTTCTGAAGTCAAGCAATCAGTCTTCATTGGGTAAAGATTTTTCTTGTTTTCAAAGAGATTAGTATCATGTTTAACATAAGACGGGGTACTTAAAGGGAGTGTTCGCAAAAAATGAAAGGGAATATAGGCTAAACCCGAGTTGAAGCAGGAATCGAACTGTATCAATTTTTTGCATCTGATGTAAACGTTGATAATTTTCTCATAATTCAAACATCAGATTAAAAAAGGTTTGATACCATTTAATTCCAAGTTCCATTTTTCGCCAATTCTTCATTTTATATCCTTAATATCTTTAAAAGGTTATTTTTTGGGATTTTTTTAGTACAGGGTGTCCCAATGAACATGGGAATTCAGTAACGAATTCGATATCATCTTTTTAAATAATTCTTTGATTTAGTATAGTGATACCTACAGAGAACGCTGTAATTTGTAAGAGTTTCGTCTGCTATGTTCACATTTTGTTTGTTTATGTTTTGACTGCATACGGTTGTACTTGGTAAAACAAGAAAATTGCAGTATACAAACAGAGTAAACTTGTCCGTTTTCACTGTATAGACACATCTTTACAGTCTTTTACCCTTTTCATAAAATGAACTCTAGCAGACATAATAATATTATGGCTTTTGAAATTAGGTATTACATTGCTAATTCATAACAATGATGATATCCAATTCGTCACTGAATTCCCATGTTTGTTTTTTTGGGACACCCTGTATGTGGTAGCAGGGGATTTATATGCACTGCTATGTAAATATTAAAATATGATGTCTTTTTAGTTCTCGAATCTGGGAAAAGAAATAAAAAAATTGATATTATATACATACACCCTTGTATGGTGTTATTCGAATATATATAAAAATATTTAGTTTTTTAACTCGCACGGAAATCTTGTCAGAAAATGTATAAGGCAAAATAAAATGGAACCTTTCACACTCTTCAAACTACAAACTCTCCAGGAGGAAAAGGTCAAATTGTGGTTCAACTCTGTGACCTCGTTGCTCCTCTAGTTCTGATTTTACGCACAAGTATGAAATAAGCAATCTAATAATGAATTAACGGTTCTTCTGAATAGCTTTTTAATAAGAGGAGTTAAGATAAGAAAAAAAAAACATAAGCAAAATTCAACCTTACTAGCAGTGTACTTTAGTTTGACGTGTTTTATTAATCCCATTGAATTAGGTAAAAACTAAAAATTTAATCTTCTATATTTCGTAGGATATTTAAATAGTTTGCAGAATCTTCTCAATTTTCATGGTTTAAAATCCTGTCTTCAAATCCAGGCAATTATTTTAAATTTTTTACAATTTAGAGCAAAATTAACTTTATGGGGAGATATTTTAGGATCGGAACTTAAAAACATTGTTAACATTAATTATGTTTTTGTATTAACACTTTGAAACAAAGAAAATATTAAGAATCTTTACTCTTATTAATTAAAAAAAAATTGAACTAAATTATTAACACAAAGGGGAAATAATTTCAAAGATTGTTTGCACTGTAAAATCATGCGTCCAAGATTGTAACGTGTAAGATATATTTGTTAAATGTTAGTAAAATGTTTTAGATGAGAGGGAGGGCCGGGCCGGGGCCCCGGAGGAACACTTTTTTACTATGAGAGCCAGAGGAAGAGGATTATCTTTTTTTGCAACAAAACATAATTTTTCTGATTTAGGTGATTCTTGCCCAAACCCTACTGCTAGAGAAAAGATATCAGGAAGCTTCAGCAGTTTATCTTCATACCCTGTCAGGTATACATTGCACAGACATTTCATAGATTCAATCAGATTTACTTTGGAGGAAAAAAAAACTCAGCGGGAGCGATTGAACGAGTGTTTGAGACACCTAAATAGCCTCTGCGCAGCCAAGAATAAGATTATATGAAAATTTTTATTTTATTTTTAAACATTGAATCAACCACAAAAATAAAATTATTTTAGCAAAAAAAAATTAGACAACTATTTTCCTTCAACCGCTAGAATCACATTTGTCGTACATATACTCTTTTCCCACAACCGCTGGTGTTTAACTCTTTTCATGAAACTTTTCTTCTTCTACATTCACTGGGTTACACATTTTTAAAAAACTTTTTTGGTTTCAGCTTTTTTCCTTCAACCACTGAGCGGAATCACATTTTTTTAACATGATCGGTTACTTTTAACCACTGCTTTAACTCTTTTGATGAAACTTTTTTCTTCTTTAAACCTCTGGGTTCCACATTTTTTTTAAACCGATGTTTCCACACTTTTATACATAATTCAACCACTGCTTCTTTCCTAGATTGGACATTTTATCAATTTTATAAGAAGTTTTGTACTTTATATTTAAAAAATGTATCTTAGGATTACGAGGACTAGAGGATAAGGACGGATCTCTTGAACCTGGGATTGATATTGAAGATTTAAGACTCGGAGCAGTACTTAGTCTACTACTGGAGGAGAACCCTTGCGAATGTTTAGTTATTCTTAACTACCTGGAGAACCTAATCCAGAGCAGGTCTGTCGTTTTATTTCAGACCCCCTGCCCCAGTGCCCATAGTCTACCTAACAAAATCCCAGATGTGCGGCACATTTTTAAAGCTTTATATAACTATAACGTTTAAATATGGTTGGGATGAAACTGAATTACAAAATGTAATGTTAAGGAAGGCTTGCAACCGAAAAATATAATATTTTTTTCAGAGTGGATTCAAGCGCTGCGGTGGATTCTTCATTTTTCTGTTTTTATTTTGCCTCTAAAGCCTACTCACTATTCAAGCAGTTTCCCAAGTAAGTGTTGATGAGACACCTTTTATTCATTTTCTTTATGTACGTAAACATTGATTAATTGTGATTTTACAGACGCACAAGTATATTTTTAGTAATAAGTTTGAATTTTTTTATGATTGAGACTACAAGTTGCCCACTGTTCTTAAGTTTAAGATTTGGCTTAAAAACAGCAATTTGTTCTTAAAGTTTTTAATTTTCAGGGGAAAAGTTCTTAACTTTTTTTAATTTTCTTTAAAACATTTACCTTAAAAAACCTTTGTTCGTTATTTTCATCAAAAGTCCTGTAAAACCTTTAAGAATATGATGAAAAAAAATTCCTTTTTTTGTACCTCATCTCATTTCAATCCTCCTACCTCCTTCTGCATAACGTATATATGTCTCTTTTTACATTTTAGTATATCTGGTTCAGAAGATAGATAGGAATTAAATTTATAAATGATAAAAGTGGCGTTTTTGAGACATTTTTTCAAGAGGACCCCAGCCAGAAAGAGGGATATGTAATTATTAACATATGTCAGAAAAAGTGAAATTTACTTAAGAAGATTGATTTTCAGTCATGATTAATTTAGGGAAAATATAAACGAATTACATTTTTTAAGTCAACTCATTTAAAAAAAAAATATTTTCTTACGTTATAACTAAACGTTTAAATTATCCGTACTGTACAATACATGTTAACTGTTTAGATCAGGACAGTGTAAAGTACAATATTATGTTAGACATTTTTTGAAAATTTTTAATTTGTTGCTTTAATGATATTTTTTAACATATTTAAATTCATATATTCTCTATAGATGTTAAACTTTCAAAGTAACTATTAAATTTTCATGCGGGTTGCATTATGGTTTAGGTTTCGGACACATCACACCAATGAAGAGAATGTTTGAGGTTTCAAAGTAAGATGACTAGCGAAAGCAGTTGTGATTTTCCTAGAATTAAAAGAAGAAGAGTATCAAAGTATTTGATGATTGCTGCAATAAACACAAGTCGAGAACAAAAAGTATATCTTTTAGCAAAAAACTTTTCAAGTGATTTTTGACATAAAAAAAATGCAAAAAAATTTCAAATTTTTCCAACTTTTTGTTGGATTTAAAAAAAATGATCTTAAAAATTAAAAAACCTTTAAAGCTAAAAGAACGACAATATTATAGAGGACGCGAGGACGGTCTCTAGTAAAACGCCAGGATAACTATTCCAGTATATATTTACTCATAACTTATCAACTAAACGAGCCTAGCTTAACAGGCTTAGGAGAACTATATATATTAAATGTTTACATATCACCTGAAGACTAAAAGTTAGATGACTTGTACGAATCCACTCTACTCTAGTGTACTCTGTGATGTTGTGGAACTCTTATAGAGGTCGAACTATCATCTTCCACACTATCTTTAATAAAATAAAGGTTCAAAGGGTACCGTTGTGAATCGGACATGACCCTTTATACACATAGGATCACTTCAAATAACAACGACAGTCCTTTTAATCTTGCTGTTAGGGCACTGATGTACATTGAGAGAGCTGAAAAAGAAATGTGTCCGATCTTGACGCAGAAACCTCAGAAGAATAATGATCAAGGTAAACTGCAATTAAAGAGTACTTATCCTTTTTGGTCCATTTTAATACCTCGAGGAACCAACATGTGTTTTATATATAAATTATAAATACTTTTTTTTTGTTTGTTTGGATGTCCAATCTTAAATCATAAATCTCTGGACCGATTTGCCTCAAATTTTGATTAGAGAATTAGTTAGTACAACGGGAATGTTCTTAGCTTGGTTTTAAAGTTCTAAAAAGACTTAAATAACGATCTACAACTTTAAAATATCCTGAGCTGGGAACTTTAGAATGGTGAATATCAGGATTAATGTTTAATCCTCTCTTTTTGCTAATCTCGAGACTAACATAATCTCGAGATTAAATATTTAGATCAACAGTATGATTCTAGGAACGCCAGATTTGTTCATTTCTTGACTGAAAGGGCCTTCACTTAATTCTTCACACATTTCATTATTAATACATTAGTTAAATTGGTTATAAAAGAATCTTAAACGTATTATTAAATATTTTTCTTCACCGATTAATTTACAAAATGGCCGACAACAAATTCTGAATTTGTTAGCGGATTTTTCTCATGGAATAGAATTTATTTTCAAGGCTGTCATTGGTCAATACAATTTACGAACTATATTCCTGCACTCTCATTGGAGAAAACAATGTACGGATATCTAAAGAGAGAGAAAAAGTGTGGATTAAGGACTAAAATTAAAAGTTTAAAGGTTATCCATTCTAAAGTTCCCAGCTCAGCTGTTAAATTCAATCTTAATAAGATTTCTGAATACTAATAAACGATGTAACCAAGAATTAGTGTAAGGTAACCGCTGTCCGAAACCATGAAGTGAATTAACAAGAATGCAAAAATTTATTGCATTCGTATTTGAAGTCTCGTAATTTTTAGAGAGCAGTGTCAGCAATGATTTATGATGGTTGAAAAGATTTGTGTTCACAACAAACAGTGGTCCGACTTTATTTTGATACAATGATACAATGATGACGACTTTCTGTTTAAGATTTAATTTCTAACCACTTTTTATTCAGCAGAGACAAATTAACATGTAAACAAAGACACAATTTAAAGGAAAAATGATCTGTCTCCGCTGTATTAAAGCTTGTCAGAAATCACAATTGAAATAAAAAGTCTTTGTATTGTATTAAAATATACGACGGCAATTGTCCAATAAAAAAAGACTTTTTATTTTGATTCTTATTTTTAGATGATTCGAGTTTGAGATTTCAGCATAGAGCTTGGGAATTAGAATCCTTGTTATAAATTATATTAATCTTTTGTTCATTCATTTCTCCCGTTTTCTGAATAAAATTGTCTGAATTGTCCCGTTGAGAGGGTGATGTGTTATGTCCTTTAAGTACTACAGTGATTGTAAGCGTAATTTCAAGTAACCCTCTATTTATAGATGTTCGATAAACAACGGTTCCCTTAAAGTTAAAAGCTTTGTCTGATCAAGTGTGAATATCCATGTTTTTAAAGCTGATTATTTTCCAATGTGGTTTCTCTGCATAAAAAACTTATACAAATTATCCGAACACTTATAAACGTAAATCAGATAAAGGTGTCAAGTGTACTGCTGTTAATCTTTCTTTAAATGGAGGGTCACTTGAAATTACTTTACTTGTAAATGGAAGATACCCCGGTCCCAGTCCTCCCACTAATTAGTTGGTCTTTTTCATTTTTGCAAACTAAATCTTCTGTCTTTGTACTAAAAACAAACTTTTGAACAGGAGATATTTTAATATTTAAATTCTTCTATATTTTTGTGAGAACCAAACCTAGGGATCTAAATATTCCTTTCATCACATATTCTTGCTTTGTATTTAAACATAATATTCTTAGACATTTTACTCATTCAGTAATTACTATTATTCCATTCAATTCAAGGATTCTTAAATAACTAGTATACAATCCAGAGTTTATTTCGAGAAGAGTCAAATCCTTGGAGCCCAGAATCTACATGTACAGGCGCTACAGGTAATTGGTAGTACATGTACAGGAACTACAGGTAGGAGTAGGACGTACACATGCAGTACATGCTGGTAGTAGTACATGTACATTGTAATGTACACTTTACAACGATCAAGCGGATGATTTTAAGGTCACATTCTTTTCTTTATTTTTGCAATTTCAACGTTTATTTTTACTATTTCAAGATTACAGCACAGATAGTATTATTACAGCTGTATTCTGTTTAAACAACCACTATAAAGAGTCGACATGGGTTTATATATTTCTCAAAATAACCCTCCCTCCTTCAAGTAAAGGGACATTTTGGATAAAATTATATTTGTTAGGTTATTTTATAGAAAACATTATATAGCCTAATCATTTCATACATCAGTTAAAACTACAGGTGATCAAATTATATCTAGATCTATTGTTTTAAAGCAATTACGAAAGAAATTTGCTAGGTTTATTTGATATTTTTTTTTACACAGTTATCTAATCCTTATGAATATTCTATGTAACTAACTAGCTCTTTATATTCATATAAAATCTAAATATTTTAATTATTATTAGTAAGCTAGTGAGCTGAGAAAGAGCAACTAAATAGATAAAAATTATTTTAACCTTTAGGGAAAAATGAACATATTAACAATTTGTCAGAAAGAGATTCAGAATGTCGTCTTAAATGGATAAATGTAGGATAAGTGACTGTTCACTGCTCTCGGTGTTTAGTGAAGCATTTAAATGGACTGTAACCGTAATTTCATGTGACGCTTGCAAAGTAGTAATGCCTTTACCCTTGAAACATTTATCTGATGTATAATGTTAAATGATGTTGCCGTTGTTCTATTTTTGAAAGTGATACTACAGTAGAAATGCGTAAATCACTTTTGCAGTGAACCCATAATTTTAAATAATATTTTTTCAAAAGAGTTTTCATTAATGTTTGATTCAAACTAGGTTAGACAAAGCTTTTAATAGTACTGTTGTAACTAGGGCATTGCCAAATTTACATATGTATTATGGGTCACATGAATTTACGCTAAAGGTTTCTTTTGAGGATTGAAATTTTCTGTAGAATATTTGTCTACTAGAGTTTATAATTTGTTTAGTTTATGTATTGATCTCATATGTACTTACATATGTACATTAATATTGGGACACTCTGTGTAATGCCATTTCCCTTAAAAAATTAAATTTTTTACCGAAAAGAATGTTTCTAATATTTTTAGGAAACTAAATAAAGAATTAGACCAGTCTTTCAACATTTATTCAAAAGTTTCTAAATTGTTATTTAGTCTGTTCTTATTGTTAATTTAAAAGATCCCATCTCGACCTCGGCTAAAATATTCTTATATTTCTCAATGTAGAAAAGTCATCTTTGGTTTAATTTAGAATCTGGAGTGTGCTTTGAGAATCCATCCTAATACAATCATGTACAATCAATACCTTAGGTTAGTAGTACATTTCAGTACAGTACAGTACAGTACAGTAAATTTAAGCTGATGTCCTGCGCTGCCAAGGTTATTCATAGTATTTACCGCCGTTTCCCCGCTTTTCGTCTTAAATCATGATTTTAGCAGTGCCGGGGGCTGTCCGTGGAATTTAAATAATTTTTTTTTAGCCTATGTACCCCCAAGGTACACATGGGTTCCCTCAAAAAATGTCAGCCAATTTGGTTTAGTCGTTTGGCAAGCTATAGCGAAGAGCTTTGCTATTCAGATTGATCAATAAAAAAATATTCATTTAGTGAACTTAAGAAGCTGGAAAATATGGGATTACTCACTGCTAAGGATGCTTTAAAGAAGAAGAAGGTTGGCCAGCTAGAGAGCAGGGTCAAACTAGAGGATCCTTTTCCTTCCTGGAGTCTAGGTGTACCTGGAGAACATACAAACTATTCGATCTGTCTCAGATATATTCTAGATCTGGATACACTAGAACTAGAGAACAGACAAACTATTCGATCTGTCTCAGATATATTCTAGATCTGGATACACTAGAACTAGAGAACAGACAAACTAATCTGTCTCAGATATATTCTAGATCTGGATACACTAGAACTAGAGAACAGACAAACTATTCGATCTGTCTCAGATATATTCTAGATCTGGATACAAAAGAACTAGAGAACAGGCAAACTATACGATCGGTCTCAGATATATTCTAGATCTGGATACAATAGAACTAGAGAACAGACAAACTATATGATCTGTCTCAGATATATTCTAGACCAAGATACAAAACAATTGAAGAACATTTATATTCCACCTTTGTTTGCAAAAATATGTTAAAAATAGATTTATCTTAGTTTTTAAAAGTTAAAAAAGTTAAAAATAAATTTTTTACATTTATGCGAATCGTAGGGTGTCTAGTATATTAGATTTTGACACTGATTTGATCCTTTCACAAAACATAATAAAAGAAGATTTTCAATTTTGAAACCTGTGATATTGTGAACCTTGATCGGATATAAAAGTTCTATGAGGTCGGTTTTTTATCCTTTCTGTACATTTTAACTCAGAAAGAGCTTTTTCAGTAGTTCTGAAAAAAACATTTATCTAATTCTTGAAAAAAAAATTTTGAAAACGAACAAATCCTAGGTTTTCCTACCACTTCACTGATGTGCCTTATATTCATAAACATAAACACCTTTGGCATAAAAAATGATTACCTTTCATTTATTTTGTGTTTTTGTAGAAATTATTGTACTTAACATATTATGTAACGTTTATCAGTCAAAATATAGGTAATATAGGTATATTTACTATCAAATTTATTTTCTATTGAACAAACTTTCTTGAAAGGTTTGAGTTAATTTTTCTTTCCCCTTCCGACAAAAGATTTTTTAAACTAGATTAAATAAAAAAGATATTATAGAGTTTCCTTTAAAGCAATATTGCGATTTTGGCAACTTACAAAATGATAAGACGACTTTTTGCATTTTTTCCTATTTTCTTAATTAGTTTCACCAGCAACGACTTCAAAATACAACCTAGGATGGCTAGGATTGTTTTGTTAGATTTGGATAAATTTTAGTTGTCATCAAATTCTTATCCTTTGTGGGTAACACCAAGTGGTTAAGCAGAAAAGAGAGCAAGCTTGAGTTCCAATTGTTGAAAAAAAGATTGTTTTACACATTAATCTATATATAAATTTGGCTTGTCTGTTTGTTTGTCTGTTTGTTTGTTTGTTTGTTTGTATCCAATAAACGTCAAAACGGCTGAACCGATCGGGCCCAAATTTTTTGTGGGACATCTAGAAACCCCAGGGAAGGTTTATGAATGATCAAAATTTCAAATATTTGTCTCTATCAAAATTCGATCTCCATTAAATTTTTAAAAATTTTGAAAATCCACGACATTTTTTGTGAAAATCCGCGAATTATTTTTGCTTTGTTTTACGATGTACACAAAGAGTACATTGTTCACAATTAATTTAGAAGATGGGCGCGAAGCGCCCTCTAAGGCTAGAAAGAAGGGCGCGAAGCGCCTTGAATTTCTAGTATCAATATACTTTGCTTGGTGGTCTGTTTGTTCGCCTGTCCGTTTGTATCCAATAAACGTCAAAACGGCTGAACCGATCGGGCCCAAAAATTTTTGGGGGACCTCGCTTGACCCCAGGGAAGGTTAATGGATGATTGAATTTTCATAAATTTGCCTCCACCAAAATTTGATTTTTGAAAGTTTTAAAAATCAATAAATTTTTTTTAAATCCGCGAAATATTTTGTTTGTTTTTGTTTTACAATGTACACAAAGAGAAAATGTTCACAATTAAAATAGAAGCCTAGTATTCTAATATTTGTCTATATCTACTTTAACAGTTAAAAAGATGGCATCTCATTTATACTACACTACACATACTTTGCAAATTATAGTAATCGAACTTATCAGAACACGGTAAACTAGAGTCAACTTTATAATCCATTTATGTGTAGGTTTTTATACTGTTCTAATGGGCTATACATCTTTAATAAAGTATATAAAGTCAAAATATGACTCTAAACATTCCAATACAGACAAGATGCACTTTGTTGTAGTTAGTTCACGTGATAATTATCCGAGTGGAATTCTTTAAAGAATTCTGTTTTTTATGCCTTAAAGTTATAATGTTTATATTAAACAGATACCGAAAACATATAGGGTAACCTGCCAAGAATTGAGTCTATATTTACGACCAAAAACATTGAAATTTATTTCTTCCTTTTAATGAAGTGCTTTCGGGCAAATATACTTCTTAATTTCATAGCGAAGGAAACACTTTTTTAGCTGTAGGGAACCTTAAATGTAAAAAAATGACTGAAAAATTTCCGTAAGTCGTCTCTGAAATCGCATCTTTTTTATGAAACCTGTGCATTAAAGCAATAGAGTGATGTGAGGAAAATGCGATAGTTTTAATATGATTAAGCAAATTATTTTTAAAAAATAAATCAGAATTGCTTAAATGACTTTTGTTGACTTAAAAAATCATTATTCCTTTTCCAAATTTTTGGTAAAATCACTTTAAAATAGTAAAACATACATTTAGTTGGACCCTAGAACCTGGAAAAGGAAGACGAGTAGTCCAATAAACTTTAAATACAGTAAGCTGCCGATATAAGTATTTCCTGTTTATATCAATATAAACATACATAAAGATGCATAATGTCATCTACCCAATCAGGTCTACTGGGGAACTTCCTTATATTCTCCTTGCATTTCCCTTATTTTTTCGCATAGGATAAAAATCAGCATAGGTTAATAATAGAAGATTGGTGCCCTTTTAAAGTTTGTTTTTGATGAAGAATCAAGTTATTGCTCATTAATATAACATCCATCTATCTCTCTCTGTATAATTCTTTAAGCTTTGTTTAAGCTTTGTGCTTGTGCATTGTGCAATAATGAAAATAATGATAACATTTTTGAAATGATAATATGTAAAAATATTAATAAATAGCTTTGTAACCCAGATTTGTCTGGAGTCTGTTTTTTCAGTGTAAAAGTCAAAGCTCAAATCTTTAAGGTAAAACTAAAAAAGTCTTGTGCTGCTACAGAGTCACCCCAATCAATATTTGAGGCAAATCGGTCAGAGGGTTCATGAATTATGAACGAACATACGAATAAATAAGTAGAGATTAGTATATATATATAGAGAGAGATATTATCGACCTTGCTTTACCTGGAACTTAACTTTAGATAAAAAATCCCATGGTTTTACCTCAATCAAAATTTGAGGCAAATTGGTTCAGGTAGGGTTATGATCGGCAGAGATAACTACTTTCTAGCGAGATATAGATAATAACAATAATAATAAATATCGACATGCAAAAAAATTAAGGAAATGTTGGCTTGAAATATTTATTTCACTGACAAGAAGATTGCTACACATAGATTATAACGTTTACGTAAGAAATTACATAAAAGGTTTCAGCATTCCACAACATTGTAAGAGTTATAAAGGAAAACAGAAGGGGGGGGGGGGGTTAAATTCATGGATTCTGTATGAATATATCATTATAATAAGTTAGTTTAGCGCCTAGCATCTACTCTGAGATCTGCAGTTCCGGGTTTGATTTTGTCTTTTTACTTGGACCCATGATTAGATTTGAAAAGCAAAGTATTCCAATTTTGTAAAAAAAACTAAAGAACATCGTCTGTTTAAAAAAGAACACAAAAGGTGTTTAGGTTAGGTCTAAAGGTACAGTGTACATACACTCATCTAATATGTTACATAATAATCCCGGTTATGCTTTCCGATAAACAACCTTTAATTCATGCTAAACAGGAAACAGAAAGTTGTACATATGTAGTTTTAACACTCGATATAGAGTACAGTTAAAAAAACAGCAAAGACTGAAAAAGATAAAAATATACCCTGTATCAATAAAAACAAGGATCACAAAAAAGTTTAACAAGAAGAATCTCCTCAATTCTCTTAAAAATTCAATTTCTAGCTTCCAGATACAACATTTAAAGGAGCTGGCAAGGTAAATATAAGAGAACCATCCAATAAAAACTCTTATAAACGATTTTAAACGAAATATATCTGATTTCTGTTTGAAAATTGAGTTTCTTGGAAGTATAAGTTTTCTATAGCAAAAGCCTAGGGTCAATAATATTTACGTTAACAGCTCCTTTAAAAAGTTTTTACCATCCCAAAATGTCAATAAAACTTATATAATTTGTTGACTAGGCCTTTACGTTTCAACAGTTCTCTACAAAGCTGTCCCCAGGGGGGCAGATTTGCTTACACTTACATTACAGATTACTGCAAGGAAACTAGTAATTGATGAGCTAGGGATAGATTAATTTTCAGACAGAGAGAGTTAAAAAACACAAGACTTGGATTCTAATGTTGTCATCAAAGTCTCATCTTAATTAACTTTCACTAGCTCTCTCCCACTTTAAAACAATGGAAAGAGCTGATCGAGGAAAATATTTGTGCCGCGGAATAAAATAAAAAATATTAATAATATTAATAATAATGCCACTAAAAATATTAAACTCAAGAATGTGATCACAAAATTACCTCATCCGATAATATCAATAAATACCAGCCTAAAGCCAGCCTTGTTCCTGCTGTGGTTATCTTCTGATTGTTTGGAGCAAGGAATTTTTAACATTAATTTAACGAGCTTTAAAAGCAAGGACTAGAAGAACCAGGACTAAAGTTAACGAATAAAAACGGGTTACACCACATGGGTTTATAAACTGGTTTGAAGTTCAGTTTGAACATTTCTGACTTAACAATGACTTAAATAAATAGTTCCAGATATTTAAAAATACGGAGATTGGGAGTAGGGTGATTGAGTATAAGGAGAAGGGTAGGGATAACTAGGGTTTGGCATGTGCAGGCCGTGAGGTGGGTATGTTGATCCTGTAGCGGCAGCAGCAAAAGCTTGAGCCGCTCCGGTGTAAGCGCCAGCTGTACTGTACTGTCCGTAGTTAGACATTCCGTACATGCCTGCCATTCCAGCCATCCCCATGCCGGCCATACCCGCCGCAACACTGGAACCCATACTTCCAGACATGAAATTGGGGGCTGGGGAGATCCCCCGGGACATGAGAGCTCCAGGGGAGAACATGGAGCTACTGTTACTCATCCCGCTCATGTACGGGTTGGTGGTTATCCCAGGTGGATATTTGGATATATCAGACTGTTCACTAGTTAACGATGAAGCGTAGCTTGACGCAAGGTTGGAAACAGAGAATGCGTCAGAAGAGGATGAAGCTCCGTGTCCGGAGACTGTGGCGTCACTGCTAGTTTCCCCACCACGACCAACACTACTGTGGGCAAGGGAACTGACCGAGAAGTTTGAATGGGTGACCGGAGAGTGGGAGGAGGTGGTGGAAACAACGTTGTAATTTGTACTTGTGGATAAGTCTGTGGGGTAGCTATCACTTCCTGGTGTGTTACCAGGTCCTGGAGGAGCCTGCTGACCGCTGGAATACTGGCCACCAGGATATCCTGTATTAAGATAGGATCCTTGACTATGGTATTGGTTGGGACTATAAGGACCAACAGATCTGGGCGTGGGGGGATGGCTTCCTCCTCCCGACCCGGAGAATACTCCACTATCATTCTCTGCTATTGCTGGGATCTGGTCGACTAGAGATTCCAATCCTGTGAGACTCTTGCTTGAAACGTCTGACGGATCATGTTGCTTGACTTGTCTGACAGGAGGTTGGGGTGAATCAAAGCTCTGGTGAGGAGGAGTCTCCTGTAACGGATGATTTGTTCTGTAAGGAGCATGGAAGCTCTGTTGCTGACTGGGTTGCTGAGGATAGTTGGGAGAATGATGAGGGTCATTCTTCAGAGGGAAACCGGGAAAGGATTGCTGTCCAGGGAATCCATGAGCGTCCACTGGGGTTGTAGGGTTGGAGAAGTTGCACTGGGTTTGGGGACGGCTCAGAGATCTTGCGGAGTCAGGCCGACGATCATCTGAATGACTAGTTTCTTCCTCCGGCATACTTTGATCAAAGTCGGGATGGTGCAATTCTTTACCAAGTGGAGAGTGAGGACCGTGCCCCAGCCTTCCTGATAAATCAGGCAAACTGTCTGGTCTTCTTAAGTCTTTAGAACCGTCATCATCCATTGATGTCCGAAGTCTGACACTTGTAGGTCTTTCTCCGCACTCACTGTCATCATCCTTCCCCATAGGACCCATTCGGGCAAAGTTAGGAGAGAAGGGAGGAAGCCGTGTTGGAGTCTTTGAGATTGAACTGGGGGCATCACTGTCGGTTCCATCATCTCTCAGGAGATATTCTGGTTTGACCATACCATTATGCATATGATGGGGAGGAGGAGGAAGGTCATTCTTCTTTGGTCTTCCTCTCTTCTTCTTACCAGTTATTGGATCAATAGGATTGACTCCTTTGGGTAAAGGATTTCCAAATTCATCTATACGTTTTCGTTTCGGCGGCGGCAAAGTTCCATCCGGACGAGGTTTGGGAGGACGGCCTCGTCTTTTCTTTCCTGTATCAGGGTCTATTCTAGAATCCATTCCGTCTCTGCTCTCCTCACCGTCCCGCTCCAGCTCGTCCTCGTCCTTTATCCGCTTGTTGTTAAAGTTCTGCAGCTTAACCTCGGGGAAGACGACCTCAGATTCGTCGAGGTCAGGAACCTCGCCTCGTAGATAATCTCTGAACTTCTTGAGGGCGGTGTAAAAAGGAACTTTATCAACTGCGCGCGGGAGCTGCGCGCACCGTGCGCTTGAATTTGGCATCACCCATGCATACTGAAATAAGAACAATCAAGCTTTGTTTAATTGCAAATATACAGGTCATATTACCCTCATAGGATTACAACTACAAGAAAGCTTTTAAACTGCAGTTCTAAGAAATTGTACACTATAAATCTTAATTGATTAAAGGAAATATTTGTTGAAATGAACAAATAAAAAACTCAATGCAAATCAAAATAAAAACAAAAAATCACGATTAAAGAAAGTAAACAAGAATTTATAAACTAGCATTATTGTTTTGCTTGTCAATGAATTCTAAAAAAAATGTAAAAACTTTTGAGATTTATTATGAATTCTGCTAGATCTAGGGTTAAAAAGGGTCAAAGATTTAAACCATCAGGTTTCTAAAATATAGGAAATTAACAATAAACAAAACATACCGAATCCGTTCCCTTGATTTTGTCCGGCTGTTTCCCGAAGATGAACTCTTTCTGACCACTGAACACCTCGTAGATCCCTTTCCCGTTGAATACGGCGATCCTTGGGTTGAACTCCTTGATCTTTGCGATCAGTTTGTCGGCTCCTGAAATGATCAAAGTTAAATATTTAAAACTAAATAAAATTACAAAAACAGACAAAAAAATAAAATTACAAAAGATTGTTTGTCTATCTAAGACACTGTTGTTCAGACCCTTTATATACAAAGGGCCAAGTCCTATTCACATCGGTACCCGTTATACCTTTGTCTGATCAAAAGCATGGAAGATATCGTCGTTTTTCTTAAAAAGAATTTAGCTCTGACAATTTCCTCCATTGTTCCTGGCAAAAAATCCCCAATTCAAGGAGAAATCATGGATCCGTCATTAATGATTGACAAAACAAAGCTTTAAAGTCTACATTAGTGAATTGGTCACTTTAAAATACATAAACAGCCCCTTTAAGATGAAAAAATTAAAATTGAAATCGAGGTCACAGTGATTGATAGGAGGGACACTTAAACTAGAATCTCAAAATAAATTTGTTATTGTTTATGAAAACAACGCTATATACAGTATGTGTATTTAAAATAGTATAAACTCGGTAATTTAGATTTACAGTAACTTTTTCATCTGAAATGTTCAGATCTTGAAGTTATTAAAAATAATAACATATTTTTATCTATTTTGAGTGTTATTCTGAGATATAAACTAACCAAGATACAGATAGAATACAGGTGCACTTTTAAACATCTATATAATAAAGCTACTCATAGTTCCTTAAATAACATATTTTTATCTATTTTGAGTGTTATTCTGAGATATAAACTAACCAAGATACAGATAGAATACAGGTGCACTTTTAAACATCTATATAATAAAGGTCGTCGACCATATAAATATACATATCTTCGTTACGGCTGGGCCAAATTTTCTATAAAAAATTTTAAGGGATCAGAATTAAACACTTTTAAGGCTAGAAGAACGATAATATCTTCCACATTAAAGATCAGTTTAATGACTCAAGGGTACCGTTGTGAATCAGGCATTGTCATCTTTGCATGAAGGCTCACGTTAAATTACGCTTAAAATCCCTTTAAGGTTGTCATCTAAACATTTTCTGATTCTCACTGTATAACGCCTAGTATAACACGGTGAGCTGGTTTAAACTGAAAGGTCTGTAAATTATTAGAAAATGTTTAAGGTTCAGGTCTAGTGCTCCCAGGATACTGCTGGCCCTCATACAAACACAGCGTAGTAGGGCTGGGCACGAGCATTTTTTATATTTTATTTGTAAAACCTGCGGAAACACCATCAACTTAACGGAAAGATAGGTTAAAAATAAGCAAAAGACAAACGTTAATTAAAATAAGAAAAGGTCAATTTTGCACATCTTTTATATTTTACCCAACCTAAACTTCAAATTTTTTTAAACAAAAAACACCATTTAGTTAATGTGGTGATAATGCAGGGAAAAGTTCTATAATGAAATTTAAAACAAATATTTTTTTAAGTTATAAATTATCACATAAATTTCACTAAAAGGGGATCATTCTTATGGCGTACTGCCCCATACATTCTGTATTTGTCCTGTGCAGCATGCTATCTCTTTAAAAGTGAGCCCGGTACTTGAAATAAACTGGAGTTTAGAAAGGATTGAGAAAAGTGGTAACGTGGACAGCCCTACAGTGCACCAAGTAATCCTTGCTCTACGCTTCACAAATATACTTGTATTCAAGGGCTTGTACAGGGGGGGGGGGCAAGGGACACCCTCCCCCTGCAATCCTTATGCACTATCTTAAAACTGACAGAATAGTAGATGAAAAATAAAACTTGCAGTACACAGTTAGTGCAAAAAATTGTGGTTTTTGTTGTAAATTCAACTCTATTTTTTCTCTGTAAAAGTAGAGAGAGAAAAAGTGAAAAATCAAGAAGAAACTAACCATTATTATATGTATAACCTGAAGTAAGACTAATGTATTATAACTGCAGTTGAAGAATAAACAAACTAATTGTTAAATACTCTCAGCTGTATCCCGGAGTATATATAACTATATAGTTAGGCCTGCTAGCTTCAACTGTGTTCAGTTGAACCAATTAGTCTAGGTTTCATAGAATACACAAAACACCTTTACAGTGGCATAATTACAGAGTGTCCAACATTTTACTACTTTTCATACAAAACTTAAAAAGTCATTATTCTCGACAAAAGTTTTTTTTTTAAAGTTTATTCACATATTAGAAAACTACTGCTCCCAGTAAAAAGAAGAAAGTCGTCATTCGAAGTTAATCAAGGTTTTCCCAAGGGTCAGTGCAAAAATAACTTTGACGTGCAGTTTATTCAAATTTTATTTTTTGGGGAAAAAAGTTTTTTAAAGTTTGCCCACAAAATGTGTATTGGCAATATTCAGTACAAAGTACAAGAACAATAATAAGCTAAAAAAGAATTTTTTATTGTCTAAATATTATGTATGTCATGACTTATGACACATTGCAATTTTTCACTAATCTACACAGATACAAGTTCAAAATATATTTCAAAATATCTAAAGCTCCAGCTCCTAGAAATATTATACTTTACGATCTTAATATATTTCAGGAGACCTTCAATTTCAACGATTTGAAAAGGTAATATTATCTTTTTTAGGACCTCTAGACACTGGTGGATTTCTACGCGGCAAAGACTACTAAGAATATTTTCTTTTACCTGATGCGGGTTAAAAAGTTAATTTTAATTATGTTAACAACCCTTTTAAAGGGACTTTCATCGTTATTCAAAGTGTCCCTCCGAACCATTTAAAGGGTCTGTCATCGTAATCTAAAGTGTCCCTCCGAGCCAATTAAAGGGAAGTCATCGTAATCTAAAGTGTCCCTCCGAACCATTTAAAGGGACTATCATCGTAATCTAAAGTGTCCCTCCGAACCAATTAAAGGGGCTGTCATCGTAATCTAAAGTGTCCCTCCGAACCAATTAAAGGGAAGTCATCGTAATCTAAAGTGCCCCTCCGAACCATTTAAAGGGGCTATCATCGTAATCTAAAGTGTCCCTCCGAACCATTTAAAGGGACTATCATCGTAATCTAAAGTGTCCCTCCGAACCATTTAAAGGGGCTGTAATCGTAATCTAAAGTGTCCCTCCGAACCATTTAAAGGGACTATCATCGTAATCTAAAGTGTCCCTCCGAACCATTTAAAGGGACTGTAATCGTAATTTAAAGTGTCCTTCCGAACCATTTAAAGAGGGGTATGGTCTGCCTAGTTCAGAACAAATCCCTTGAAGTCCTAATCTAATTTATAATATGGAAGATTACGTTTTTTTTCTGGCTGAAAAAAGATTCAATTCTGATAATTTCTTAATTGTTTCTGAAGTAAAAAATGCGCGAGTCACTTTTTAAGAGAACACACAATTAAAAAAAAAATTTCAAAACAAAAACATTGATATCTAATCTTACGTAGCTTAAAAGGGCACCGATGAGAATACGACTTGACAGGGGGGTCACTTGAATTTACATATACAGTCCCTTTAATGGCAAGAAAAATTACAAAATATGCTGTTAAAAAATTCTGACATTAAAAATGTTTCCGGTCTAAACCCCCTGAACCTTCCCAATATGCTTCTTCAATGCTAGCTTAGGACAAGTGTGGAGTAAGGGCTGAACCAATTAATAACTTTGCCATTTACATTTATTTGAAATATTTTAAAATATTTTAATTGTTGCCAAATCTTTGAGCATTTTCTCTTCGATAAAACAATAATAAAAACGTTTGTGGATTTAGAATTTTTTTTCGTGGATTTTCAAAATTTTACTATTTTCTTAATAATTGTGGAAACCACTTTCTGTAATTCTGAGCATTCATAAAGCTAGTGACACAAAGTTTGGGCCCGATCGGTCTACTTGTTTTTGACATTTATTACTGGATTCAAACACCTCGACACACAGACAGACGAGCAAAGTACATAAATATATATATCAGATGTACAATATAATAGAATAACAGGTTAACACTTTTAGTACAGGGACTGATTCTAGTGATTTTCAACGTGTTACTTGTAACTCAACTTGTAGAATAGCTTGTCTAATTCACAACAGTACCCTATGACCGATCAGGGATGCATGGGATATCCGTATTTGGTTAGCGGAAAATTTGTCATTTTCAATTGTGGTATCATTTATTCATCTATCTATTATTATCTTTCCATCCTTCTGTTTATTTATCTTTTCATCTATCCATGCATATAATTATTTATCTATAGTCTATACATTAATCTATCCATTTATTACATCTATCTATTCATTTACTTATTACACCTATCTATTCATTTATTTATTACATCTTTTCATTTATTTATTATATCTATATCTGATCATTTATTTATTACATCTATCTATTCATTCATTTATTACATCTATTTATTCATTTATTTAATACATCTATCTATTCATTTATTTATTACATCTATCTATTCATTTATTTATTACATCTATCTATTCATTTATTTATTCTATTTATCCATCTCTCTGTATTCAAATACCTGTTAACCTGCAAATATATTCTATTTCTTCATATATTCATCTTAACATCTATTAATCTAGCTATTGATCTATTTATTCATTTTTCAATTTATGCATTATCTACTTATATATATTTTCATATATCTATTATTCTATCTGTCTATTCTTTTATCTATCTGTGTTCAACAACCTCTCTATCTATCTATCTATCTCTATATCTGTTTATCAATCTATCTACCCCCTAGCTGAATCCCTAAGGACCTATTCATTATTCATTCATTACTACATCATTATTATATAAACCTACATCTGTAAATAGGGCGCACATTTTAACATTTTAAATACTATTCTAGTTTTTTATCAATCGTAAGGAATTGAATCTTTGCCACAAACTCACATTTTCTAATCCCCATATCTTTGCAATCTGATGGCGGAAACCTTTGATATTTGAAACTGAGATTATTTAATCCAACAAAATTCATGGTTTGAAATATTTAAGATCTTCGAAATTGGGGTGAATTTGTGACAAAGACTCAATTCCTTTATTATTTTATTATATAGATAAAGATCTCAGGTTGATTTAATACCCCTTTTTCTACAAGAAAACTTCTTTTATATTGATATTATGATTAAGCATTGCTGCAGAGGTGTATATATACACCTCTGTATTGCTGTCCTAGATAAGATAGCAATCTATTCTTGGATTTCTGTCCTAATTCCAGGAAACTTTTACCCAAAAAATTAGAATATAAAAGATGACAATAATAACAATGAAAGTGCTTAATAATACAGGGTTACTCACAAAGAATGAGAATGTAAAGACGAAATGAAACTCTTTAACTATGATAATTCCGAGTGTGAATTAAGTCTACTACTGCCTTCAATATGGTAGTTTATTGATTTGGCAAAAAATGAAGTTTACAATTGCATCTATCTATGAATCTATCTATGAATCTATCTATGTATATATGTATCTATGTATCTATGTATCTATGTATCTATGTATCTATGTATCTATGTATCTATGTATCTATGTATCTATGTATCTATGTATCTTTATCTATCTATCTATCTATCTATCTATCTATCTATCTATCTATCTATCTATCTATCTATTACCTTCTTCTATCTCCTGTCTGTTGAGCTCCTGACTGGCCCTGGTTGTCCTCTCCACGATGTTTGTGAACCCTATCCCTAGTCCCAGCAGTTCATGATCATTCTCAGCATTCATAGGTCGGGGGATTAGTCCAGATAAGAACATACATTTCCCTGAAAACAAAATAAATATAGATTTTTAAACGTGAATGATATTGTAGACATGTTCGATTCACAAAAGTACCATTCAAACCTTTGTCAGAATAAACGAATTTTCTGTTTTAAAATTAATAATTTTCATTTTCGGTTCTCAGTAACAGCAGGAAGAAACAAGAAAATAGGTGGAACTCAACACATTTCAAGCTCGAAAAACGACAATATCTTCTTTTTTAAAATTATTTTATGAAAGGTCACTAGAAATTACGTCTAAGTTCCTTTAAAACTAATGTTCACTATTATTGAAATTGGTGACGATTTGATTTGAAAGAATTATAATCCAATTTCTTTCTTAGAAATACCCAAATAGATTTTAGTACAATAGATGGCAACGTAGAATTTGTACACTCTCAGTACAGCTGTATTCTGACATCTCAAGTGTCAATTCAGTTTTTGTGTCCGGCAAAATTGTCAATAAAAGTGCTTATCTTACATTAAAATAAGAGTAAGTTTATGTTTTTTTCCTGTTTTTTTTCACTTTTATTTAATCTTAGAAAACATGTCAACTAATATGAGAAAATTTTGTTTTCCTTGTTATGTTTGACACTTGTGACGGCGTGTATAATTGGTCCAGTTCTCTATTGCCACCTATTGTACATAATAATCTATTTGGAAATAGCTATTTCAAATAACGAAAAAGAATTAGCTAGGCTATTTTCTTGATTGATTAATAGCCGAAGTGGAGAATAGGTGGAGAAGTATTCAAATTGTCGAAAATTTTTGTTTATTGAAATTAAATTTTTCTGATTTATTTTTTAAAAGATCAAGAATATCTTTTGGAAATAAATTTTCTCTAT